GCCGTCCCAGCAGCACCCGCCGCCGCCGTGGGCTCGTCTCCCGCCTGGTTGGCCCGGCACCTCCGGAGGCGGTGGCCGTGGTGGCGGCCCGCGCAGCTTGGCGTCTACCAGCGGCTCCAGTGCTGTGACCTGCCAGTACCAGCTTCAGACCGGGCCTCTCCGCGGCACTCTGTGCCGCCGCCCGCACCCGACCGCCCGCTGTTTCCGCCGCCTCGACGATCTTTTTCGTCGTCGCTTTGGCCCGGCCCCGGACCTCCCTGACTGGCACAGCCTGCTCCGCCAGGGCGTGCCGATCTTTGAGTTAGACATGGATCAGATAGGTGCTGCTTTGCATGCTTTGTATGCTGACGCTTCTAGTGTTGCTGGATCTTACTACCCTGTGTACTCTAGTTTAGGTGTTTCACCCTTGTGTAGCTTAGCTTCCCCTGCTGCGACAGGCGTAGGACTGCCTAGGTTGCCTAGTCTAGTCGCTGCACCGGCTCCGTCCCCGGCCTCCGCCACTGCGTCGCTGTCCTTCACTCTCGACTCTGGTGCTTCTGCCTGCTTCTTCCGCGACCGTTCCACGCTCACGCCGCTTGCTGCACCTGCTGTTGTCTCTCTCGCTGACCCCTCTGCGGGTCCGGTCGTCGCGCGCAGTTCTACGTCCCTTCCCTGTCCGGCAGTTCCCTCGGGCTCCCTTACTGGCCTCCACGTTCCCTCGTTCTCCAGGAACCTGGTTGGTGTCGGCTGTCTTCAGGACCTCGGCGTCACCACCACGTTCCCCGGGCACGAGCGGTTCGCTGTCTGTTCTGAGGCTGTCTCAGGTTCCCCCCTTGCGACGTTCCCCCGGGACCCGGTGTCCGGTCTGTTTACCCTACACACCGCTTCCCCCCCGGTTGGTGCGTCCTCCCAGGTCGCTGCAGCTTGCTCGTGTCGGTCCCTCACTCACCCCTCCCTTCTCTGGCACCACCGCTTAGGTCACCCTGCTCTCCCGCGTCTGCGTCACATGTCCCAGCACGGTCTTGTCTTAGGTCTCCCCGCGTCGCTCCCTGCCCTTCCTCCCTCGACTGCGCCACCGTGCACGCCTTGCGTCGAGGGTCGGCTCCGCCGTGCTCCTCACTCCTCCTCGCTGCGTCCTGCTACTGCCCCCCTTCAGACCCTGCACTTGGACGTTTGGGGCCCTGCCCCCGTCCCCGGACCGCGCGGTGAGCGCTACTTCCTTGTGCTTGTCGACGACTACACGCGCTACACCACGGTGTTTCCCCTGGAGCGGAAGGCCGACGTGCCCGACGTTCTTCTCCCGTGGGTTGTGGCTGCGCGTCTCCACCGCGGTCTCCCCGTGTTGTGTCTCCACTCCGACCGTGGCGGCGAGTTCGCCTCTGGTCGGCTTGGACAGTTCTGTCGTGCGGAGGGCATCACCCAGTCGTACACGTTGCCGGACTCGCCACAGCAGAATGGGGTTGCTGAGCGCCGCATCGGCTTGGTCATGGAGGTCGCCCGTACCTCCATGATCCATGCCGATGCCCCCCATTTTCTGTGGCCGTTCGCTGTTCGCTACGCGGCTCACCAGCTTAACCTGTGGCCACGCTCCCGGCGGCCGCAGGTTTCGCCGACCCTCCTTTGGACCGGGTCCCCCGGTGACGCGTCTGCGTTCCACGTCTGGGGCTGCCTTGCTCACGTTCGTGCCTCTGGCACGGACAAGCTCACTGCCCGCACTGTCCCCTGTGTCTTCCTCGGTTTCCCCCTGGACTCGTCTGACTGGCTTTTCTACCACCCGCCGTCTCACCGCTTCCTCCACTCTCGTGACGTCACCTTTGACGAGTCCGTCTCCTTCTACCGCCGCTTCCCTCACCGAGGTCTCCCAGTTGCCCCCCCCTTTTCCTTGCTCCCTCTCCCCCGGTAGCCCCTGCCCCTCTCCCGCCTCGTCCTGCCCCGTCTGGTGTCTCCCACGTCACTCCCCTCCCGTCGGTTGTCCCCGTTGAGGAGTCTGCTGACTCTGGTGGTACCCCCGGTCCGTCCTTGCCGCGTCCCCCTTCCCCGGTGCCTCCGCCCCCACTGTCGCAGTCGCCGACCCCGCTGCCGCCGCCGTCGCCGTCGCCGCCGCAGCCGTCGCCGCTGTCGTCGTCGCCGCCGCCGCTGTCGCTGCCGCAGCCGTCGCTGCTGTCGCCGCCGCCGCAGCCGTTGCCGCCACTGCCGCCGCTGCTCTCGGCCCCTGGGGGTGCTGGTGTGGAGGAGGGTGTTCGTCCTGCGGCTTCTGGGGGTGCCGCTGGTGTTGGAGGGGGTTCTCGCTCTGGGGGTGTTGGTTCTGGGGGTGCTGCTGTTGAGTGTTCTGCCGACGGTCGTTCTGCCTCTGCTGGTCCGAGGGTTCCGGCCCAGCCGTCGTCGCCGCCGCAGCAGCCGTCGCCGCCGGTTTCCGCTCTCCGCCTGCTCGGCCTTCCCTCCCCGGACCGCGCGCCGGTGTCTCCCCCACCGCCTCCTGACCTCCCTGTCTACGGTCCTGTGTTCCCGCCGCCAGACTCGTCTCCGGCCCGTCTTCCTCCTCGTTCCCCTCCTGTGTCTCCTCCGCTGTCCCCTGACCCTACCCCTCCGTCTCACGTTTGGGCTCGCCGTCCCTCCCGTGCTCGTCCCGTCTCTCCTGTCCTGCCCACCCACCCTATGTTGCTCCGTTCCCACTCGTCTCGTCCTCCCCTCCTCCCGTCCCCTCCTCCCTCGTCCCTTGCTGTTGCACCTCCTCCGTTCTCTGACTACCTCCGTGCTGCTCGTCCCCTTGTCCCTCGGGTCCTTGCCTCTCTTGTTACCGACCCTGCTGTTCCTGTCTCGCGCCTTGACGCGCTTGTCGCTGCTGTCGCTGACTTCGCCTCTACCCGCCGCCTTGACTACGCTACCGCTCTGGTCTCTGACCCTGCCCGTCCTCTGTCCGTCGGGGGTGCTCCTGCCCTTGGCAGTGACGTCCTAGAGGACAGGCAGTACGAGCTGGCTTTCCTTTCCGAGGCTGCTCCCCATCTCTGCTCCATGTTGTTAGTCCCTGAGGGTGACCCAGACGCCTTCGACATCCCGACCCCTCGCACCTACGCTGAGGCCACCTCGGGACCTTGGGCCTCTCAGTGGATAGCTGCCATGGAGCAGGAGATGGCATCTTGGAGATCCACCGGCACTTACGTCGACGCAGTTCCCCCGCCTGGGGTGAACGTAGTCGATGGTCGGTGGCTCTTCAAGGTGAAGCGCCCCCCTGGAGAGCCGCCTGTCTTCAAGGCGCGCTACGTGGCCAGAGGTTTCAGTCAGCGCGAGGGGGTTGACTTCTTCCAGACCTTCGCCCCGACCCCGAAGATGACCACTCTTCGGGCGCTGCTACACGTAGCAGCACAGCGTGACTACGAGCTTCACTCCCTTGACTTCTCTACTGCCTTTCTTCAGGGCAGCCTACACGAGCAGGTCTACCTGCGCCGACCACAGGGCTTCACTGGTACCTTCCCTCCTGGGACCCAGTGGCTTCTCAGGCGCCCGGTCTACGGCCTGCGTCAGGCTCCCCGCGAGTGGCACGACACGCTACGTGCCACGTTAGCAGACCTGCAGTTCTTTCCGTCCTCTGCTGACCCTTCACTGTTTGTGCGTTCCGGCCAGACTCCGTTCTACATCCTTGTCTACGTAGACGACCTGGTCTTCGCTACTCCTGACAGGGACGCACTGGCCTCTGTGAAGGCTGAGCTGCTGAAGAGACACACCTGCACTGACCTTGGAGAGCTGCGTCGCTATCTTGGCCTGCAGATCTCTAGGGACAGAGCAGCACGCACCATCACTCTGACCCAGTCACACTTGGTGCGTCAGGTCCTTCAGAGGTTCGGTCTTCAGTTCTCCTCCGCACAGCCCACACCTCTACCCGTAGACCATGGGCTCTCTGCTCCCGTTCCTGAGGAGCCAGTAGAGCCCAGTGGCCCCTACACAGAGCTGGTGGGTTGCCTCATGTACCTGATGACTTGCACTCGCCCAGATCTCGCATACCCTCTCAGCATCCTGGCTCGCTTTGTGGCTACAGGCAGACACCGACCTCAGCACTGGTCTGCCGCTAAGAGGGTTTTGCGTTATCTTGCTAGTACATCAGGCATGGGGTTAGTGCTAGGAGGACGCAGGCCAGTGGTCCTTACTGGGCACACAGACGCTTCTTGGGCAGACGACGCTGAGACGCTCAGGTCGTCGCAGGGCTACTGTTTCAGCCTTGGTTCGGGTGCTATCTCTTGGAGATCCACTCGCTCGTCGTCTGTGGCTCAGTCTAGCTGTGAGGCTGAGATCTACGCTGGTGCCATGGCGGCACAGGAGCTCCGCTGGCTGACCTTCTTGCTCACAGACTTAGGTGAGCAGCCTAGCTCTGCCCCGGTCCTGTACGCTGACAACAGGGCCATGATACTCCTGTGTCAGGAGCCTCGGCTTGAGGGCAGAGCGAAGCATATCCAGCTGCGGTACTTCCTCCTGCGCGAGCTACAGCAGCGCCGCCAGGCCCGCGTAGTTCACTTGGCCTCAGGTGCCAACACAGCTGATATCTTTACTAAGGCGCTTGCGCCTAAAGATCATCAGCGGCACTGTGTACAGCTTGGTCTTGTTCCTATAGCTGCTCCCCTGTTAGGATCCTGATTGTGTACTCTCTATTATATATGCTTGTCAGACTGGCCTTGTGGCCTTACCTCCAGTGGCTGGACTAGTAGTGCCACCCTGGCTTGCTTCAGTTTTGGTTGTATTCTTGCTGACTGGTCTCCAGACCCCTGCCTCAGTGGTTGGACTAGTAGTGCCGCCCTGAGCTGTTTGCTTCTTGTTTAGTTTCACCCCTTGTCTAGCCTAGGGGGTGTGTCAACTTATACATATTATCTATGTAGAAGTTATAGGCTAGACTTAGGTATGCTTCTAGTGAGTACAACCAACTAGTATTTGTTCTAGGTTTCCACCTCTAGTAATCATTCGTTTCTACGTTAACAGGAACACGCTCTACAGGTGCTTCTTTCTGCAAAATTCTGCGTCGTGTATTTTCACAACTAGATATGGAGGAGATGCACTTATATTCAAAACCCGTAGTATATTACATACAGGAATCAATTTTGACCCGAGCCATCACGACGAGCGATATGACAGGAACACAAATCCCAAGGGGGTCCTATAATCGTCTAAAAGGCTCCGACAAGCGCCTTGCGGGGGTAGTAATCGCGGCCGTTATTGCTGTACGACGACGAGACGCCCGTCGCCATCTCAACCGCAAGCGCGGTCTCGTCGTCGAGTCCCTCGGCGCGCACGAAGCGGCAGAAGGTGCAGTCCGAGTGGGTGAGATCGGAGCACTTGTAGTCGTCGACGGTTCCGTCAATGAAGCCCTCAGCGTTGTCGCCGGGCACCACGTACGTCTTGAACAGCTCGCTGTACACCAGCTTCTGCTTGCCGCTGCAACAGAAAGAAACGAGAAACGTTAGCGTTGTTGAGTGATGGAACAAAAAGCGGGGCGAATGAAGAATGATGGCAGGAGAATGTAAAAAGACCGACAGCAGCAGGAACAAGGAAAGAAGTGCGACTTACAGGCGGCCGGCGAAATCAGGGCGGTAGGTCTGGCCGAGCACGCCGTGCACGTTGGGCGACAGCTTCGCGCTCATCACGTCGACAGTGAAGTGCACCAGTCCGTCGTCCTCCGTACGAAGCATGGCGATCTCCGGTCGCAGAGTCAGTCGCAGAGCCAGAATGTCGCCGATGCGAACCTCGTACTCGTCCACCAGGTCGTCGCCAAGAACCTTCTTCGCCGCTGCCCACTTGATGTCAACCTGCCCGTCGAAAAACGACGCGGACTCGAGGTGTGACCCGGGAACGCCCAGCTTGACCTCCTCGCTATCGACCACGAGCCGTTGGAGATAACCCGTCCTGTAATCCGCAGCCCACCCCGTGCGCGCCTCGAACACAATAGTGTGGTGGCCCCACAGAATGCTGATCTGGCGCATCCACGTCAGCGCCTTGTTGCGGCCTTCCCATTTTCCCCAGCGGCCGTCGAAGTGCGCCTGAACCGCCACGTGGGCGTCGGAGATGAGAGCGTAGTCCTCGCCGGGCCGGCCGCTAAAGTCGAAGCGCGACGAGTCGGCGCCGACGAAGTGCGGGTCGCCGGTGCCATTGGCGGGGCAGATCTTGCCCACGTAGATGAACTCGGGGCGCACGCCGTTGTCGCGCGCGGGGTCGATGAAATGCTTGTCCTTGCACACCTCCTCGCCGTAGCACGTGCACAGGCCTGCTCAGGCAAGATCAGTAGTCGTAAGCACAATCGGGGAAACAGGACACGAACAGGTTAAGCATGAGTACGCCAAGCTTGCCGGGGAGCGAGGCGACGTGAAATTGGTGGGGAAATGTGGGTCGGCGTTTGAACACGACGTGGGGATGAGAGGCTGATTAGCGTACCGCCGGTGGTGGGGTCGGTGAAGGGCTCGTACTGCCAGTACACGACAGGGTCGGGGCGGTTGCCCTGGTTGTGGTACTGGCACACCTTCCAGCACTCCTCGTTTGGGTCCTTGGTCGCACTGTACGTGAACGCCTCGGAGAATTTGGGGTTCACAGAGTCGAAGCGTCCGCTCTTCTTCGACTTGGACTGGCACTGGAAAATGGGGCACGAGCGGTTGTCCGTGCCGCCGCCCTGGTTGGAGCCCTGCGTTCCGGCTGCGGTGGCATGGGCTACGATGCAGAGGAGCAGGATGAATGCGGCTTTACTCTTGGTCGTCGCCATGGTGCTTGAGCTAAGTTCAGGTTCTAGTCTTGGATGGTTCCACCCAGTAGTAATATGGCCGTCCGTTGTTTTGGGATAAATGGGGGTGTGTTCTTCACAGGCTTGGCACGTTGGTTTGGTTGGGAGCTGGTGTTCATCACTGGGGCGGGGCGATGCGAAAGTTTCCAACGTGGGCGAAATGAGGGTTGCACGAGAACATCGCTTTCGCTCGATCGCAAGGACGACGAGGTGCACGATAGGGTGAAAAGACTAAACTGGGACGGCTCGCATTGATAGATAGCAACAAAACTAGGAAAGCGTAGTGTATTTCGATCTGTTTTTCCTTTTTTCGAGACCAGAATCCCAACAGAATGAAACCAGTGAGATAACCACTTTGACGGAGAGGGGAGAGCGTGGAGTTCAACAATCAGCTTATGAAAACATTTGCACATTTGAGGTAACCCGGAAAATGCGAGCGGAGTCAGAAACAACCCTCACATTTGCCGACTGAGGAAACTGTAGCCCGTCATGAGCAACTTGCTGGTCAAGGAAAAGACAAATCACGACAAGGGCCGAACGCGGCATTTCTCGAAGTCAGGTCACTTCTCAAATTTCCTTCCCCCACCAAGCCTGGCAGTGATACAGTAACCCTGCTGCAGAAGTTTCTCCTGGGAACGACGGCAGCCTTGGGCCACACCAATACTGCTGGCGCTGCATTCTGTTGATCTCACCTGAAAAGATCGTTCGAGCACGACCAGCGATGCGCAGATAACTTGGAAGGGGACTAGTGATTCCTCGTTATACCATTTTATAGCGGCATCAAAGAGCCTAGAGTATGAAACATCCAGGTATGAAGGAACGTATTTTTGCCCCCTTGCAAATGTATCCATTCACGATATATCAACCAATGTATAAACATACTAGGCACGTCAGTTTCTGCTTATGATTCGAGTCTTAGCGCGTACAGTTTCTTACAGCCAGCACCCAAATGTGTTTTTTTTTACTCACAATCAGCAATACATGTGGTTTCGACAGCTGAGGTGCACCACTCCCTAGAGATGACTCTGTTTAGAACCAGGTATCCATGACACATCTGACTCTCGTTCTAGGAATCCGCTCCCATGGCTGCCGATCGGTCAGTACCTAGGCTACTGACCTGGCTGATGCTCCGAGACACCACTGTGTCGACTCGTCTGTATAAAGCCACTGAGCATCTAACCATATTTCGTTCCTTCCTCATCCTCCTCGAGCGATCCGGCGATGGCCGTCTGCTGCTCCCACTCGCCTTCGCGCTCTGGCTCTCTCCCGTCTTCACCAGCGCGACGATCCGTCAGATCTTTCTAGGAATCTTCCTCGCGTGCATACTCGATCTGGCGATCGTCGGCATTCTCAAGGTCGCATTTCGGCGGCCGCGTCCGCACTACAACCGCGGGATGCTGGTCGTCGTGGCGCCTGATCAATGGTCCTTCCCCAGCGGTCACGCGTCTCGCGCCATTATGATCGCCGCTCTCCTTTTCCACCTCCTCCCACCGATCTCAACCGAATTCGCCCAGCTGCTTCCCTCAAGTCTCAGCCATCTGATCCCGACGGATCTACACCGTCTGTTTCCCGAAACCCTCAAGGACACCTTATCAGCCGATCTAAGCCCGGAATTTAGGGTTTGGTCTCTCATGGCGGCGGTTACCGCGTGGGCTGTGACGACTGCGGGGTCGAGAGTGTTCCTAGGACGGCATTTCGTGCTGGATGTCGCCGTCGGCTGCCTCCTAGGTTTTCTAGAAGCCCTGCTAGTGACGCGGATGGTCTGGCCGTCCCAAGAAGTTTCGGAGAAGCTGCGAGAGCTGGCTGTGACTTGCGGTCGATTCCAGGAAGGATGCAGTCTGGATGAGATTCGCCGAACTCTGGGGATTTGATCTCATCATCTGATGCCACTGACACGTCAGCTGAAGCTGTGGGGTGCTGATGCTGTGACTTGTGCGGTAGTACCGACAGGTCGCAGTCAAGTCAATAAGGACGACTGGCTAAAAGGAATGGCCAATTTCTCCGAAGTTCTCCAGAATCTCTTTTACGCTGTTCATGCTGCACTGAGTCTTCCATTCCAATACGTTCCCGTCTGGCGATATGATATTCATTCTACTCCCCCTCCCTCTCACGGCACTGGTACCCACTGCTGGGCTACCCTACCAGCCTACCACCTTTCCTGGACATGTGATCGCTAGTCCCTGTGATGATGGATTTAGTGACATGATGCTTGCACACTCGCACACAGCAGCACACCCCTGTGCTTGCATGCAGCCATGCTGTCTGCACTGCACATGCAGCGTTGCTGGCCGGTGTGCTGCTGCTGTGTGAGCTGCATGTGAGCAAGTGCGATGCTGCGGCAATTCTGAGGGACTTGTATGTCATGTCACTGGCATGGCCTTGTGAATAACCATCCATCGTCCTCAGGTGGTGTGAGTGGGAGGGGAGGATGGGAGCATGGAGAAAGGCATCACAGTAGTAGGGTATCGCCGTCATCTCAATATGAAGACAGGCTGACAGGACCAGCACTGGTTGTAACAAGCAGGCTGGAGCACGCAAAAAGTCAACCAACGAGATATGGTTACAATCTGCACATGGTAACATGGCCAGCAAACAAGCCCACTCGATTACAAAGGATACCATGGCTATCGGTCACCTCACCGCACTCCACTGTCTGCTGGAGAACATGTACACACACTGTCATTCCAGGTTGAACGCCCTTCTCCAGCCCTTGGAGAAGAAACTACCAAAGCCAAATCCCCCAGCCTTGCTTCCACCCCCTGGCGAGGGCGGTGTGGGCGCCGCAACCGATGCAGCTCTATGGTGGTGGTGTTGGTGGTGCCCGGCATTACCCCCCCGCACATTTATGCCTAGGCCGCCCCACCCTCCTGCCCCTCCCTCTGCTCCTTTGCCTCCTGCCCCCGCGGCTGCCCTCCCTCCCCCCACCAGCCCCGCCATGCTCTGAGCTCTCCCCCTGCCGCCAGCACCCCTTGCTGCTGGAGGGGCCGCGTCCCCCCTGTCAGCTCCTGCTGCTGCTGCTGCTGCTGTTATTGCCACTGCCCCTGCTGTTGCTCCAGTCTGTGCTGCTGCTGCTGCTGCTTCTGCTCCTGCCTTAGCTGCCCCGAACGAGGAGCCGGTTCCAGTCACCGGGGCTTGTTGCCCCTCTCCTCCTTCCCCCCCTCCACCTCCCCTCTCGCCCCTTGTCTCTTCCCCTGGTTCCCAAGATGACACCGCCACGCCCACCGATGCCAGCTGGGACGCGATCTCCTCCTCCCATGTCAGCCCTGACGGCGCCACATCACCAACCCGCCCCCGCACCTTACCGTCTCGAGGCCTGCCCTGTACTGGCGGTAAGCCAGCGTTCCCGTCACGAGGCCTGCCCTGTACTGGCGGCAAGCCAGTACCAGCAGCAGTGCCACCAGCAGTGCCACCAGCAGTGCCTGACACATCGCCTGAAACCGTAGGGCCGCTGGCAAGCGTACCGGCAGCCACAGCAGCAGCAGTGACCATGTTTGAGAACTGTGTCGACCAGTTGGCGCTGGTGGCGCTGGTGGTGTGCGTGAGTGTGCGCATCGTGTTGGTGTACTCCGTGGAAAAGGCCACCGCGGACTCGTATATCACGTTGATGCCCGACTGGAATAGCCCACTCGGGTTGGCCGGCCCGGGCCCAGGAGAGTTAGCGCCAGCAGCAGGGAGACTGGGAGGGGCGGGATCGACGGGAGGGGGAAGAGCGACTGCCCAGGCAGGTGCCACGCGTGCAGCCCAGGAGAAATCAGCCGAGGCGATGGGGCTCCTCCACCCTGACCCGCCTGCTGCTGAAGCTTGTTGCCCACCTGGCAGTGCGGGCTGCTGTCGCTCCACCTGCTGCTGCCGCTGCTCCTGCTTTTGTGGCGGCTGTGAGGAGTCTTCTGCGTTGCCAATAGCAGGTGGCTGTGCTGCTGCTGCTGCTGCTGCTGCTGCACCTTCCTCCGCTGCTGCTAGACCTTGTTGGTTGCCCAGGTTTGCTATCGAAGTTTGAGCAGGTTTCGGGGGCACATTGAATGCAAACGCGTCCTCATCCGCCCCCTCTCCCTTACCCCTAGCTCCTGCCACCCTGCCAGCCCCACCGTTCACAACCCCCCAATTCACAGCCGCTCCCAGCCCCCCCTGACCCCCCGCCCCCCCCCTCTCGCGCCCACATTGAACACGAATGCGTCGTCATCCTCGTTATCGTCTGCCTCGATTTCCTCTAGTTCCTCCAGCTCTTTCTGCAGCCGCGTGCGTCCGCACGCCAGCACCCGCCGCTCTTCCCCCTCCTCCTCCCCTCCCCGCGCCCCCGCTGCACCGCCTTTCCAGGGGGGCTCCGCTTCCCGCGTGAGGAAGCGCTTGGGCGCGCCGGGGTGGAGCATGAGGACCGGGCGAGGGGGGACGACGCCCTTGTGCGAGGCGATTAAGGACCGGAGCCGCTGCTCTAGCTGCTGCTTCTGCTGCGGCGCCAGGGAGATGGGCTCTGCCGCGCCCGTCGCTGCCGCGCATGGTCCCGTTCCGCTTCCTTCCGCCTTCCCTCCTGCACCGCTGCCTGCCCCTGCGCATCCGCCGCCGCCTCCCCCGCTGCCTCCCCCGCTGTCCCCCCAGATGTCTCCGCCGCCGGCACCGCCTGGAGCGCGTGGCATTCCGCCAGCAGCGGGGAGCACTCGTCCAGGAGGCCTGCAAGACGCGCCTGATTTCCCGCCGACCCGCGCACTCGTGCGCCGCGGCAGTCACGATGGTGGCGCCGCGAGCCCGCTTGTACCGCCACAGGCGGAGGGGGTCCCCCGGTGGATGAGGTGCACCATCATGCGCTGGTCGTGGCTCTGCGGGCGTTGGGGGGGGGCAAGGCAACGGGGGGCGGAAGATAGGGGCGAGGGCGAGGGGGAGAAGGGGACGCGGACGGGGGGGAGAAAACGCGGTGAGGACAGCGGGGGGGGGGGGGCGAGGCGGAGAAGGGACGCGTGGCCCGGCAGGCAGGAGGTGAGGGATGAGGGCGATGTTGGGCAGCAAAAGCTAACATTGTTGGGGGAGGATTAGGAGCGACGGTAGTCCAATGTGTCGCGTAAAAGACGCCGCTTTGCGACGGAAAAGGGCGCTATTTTGGGGCACTTACGACGGAGAACCATTGCACATGCGGCGGAACCTCGGCGACGGCTTTACGAAGCACCTCGTTGAAGTCACCCGCTAAAGAACTAGAGCCATGCGATAGAAGCACATTTCCCGCGTGACTGATGCCTAACCCTAGAATCAGCTCCTGCTCATTGCCCTGCTCGCGACCCATTCCCATCAGCCCGTACAGTTTACGCGTTACTTTGCTGTCAGCTGTACGCCGTGGGTAGTGCTACGATAGTAGTATTCAGTAATCGCCATCATAGAACGCTCGTCCCCAGTGCGAGCCAAATGCCGAACAAATCTGCATTTCGTTGAGGATGCGCTCTCTATAATACTAGTCGCCCTAGACTAGACCGCGAAACACTCCCTCCCTAGGCGGCTAATTCAAACAGTGGAATCGTACTGGCGAAGGAACCGCCCAGCAGCACGACGTTATACGACTTTCGCGAAAACAGGAGCTGTAGCAGCAGGAGCAAGAGCAGTAACAACAGCCGTTTTCGCGAGATGCGCGACTTCGAGTTGCGAATAGGACAGCAATCAAGCTGTAGGTGGTTGGGGGGCAGGGCAGAAACAGCTTTTCCAAGAGGCGAAACTCTGCATCGCTGGACACACATGGTAACTCAGAACCGCAACTTCGCTGCGTCCAAGCTAGCTTGCTGTGTAAGCAGGCTGCTGCCAGCATCAGCTGGCCAGCAACTGTCGCGAAAGCTGGCGGACTATTGGCGACAGAACGCTACTACCCAATGCGCAAGTTGTTAGGAGCATTTTGACTTACTCGGCGGTGAAGCAAGCGTGTAGGCGTTTGCTTCGCTAATATCGAATCTTTCTCAATACATAAGAAGCTGAATTAAGCCATGCCTTGATGCTGTGGAAATATATAGTATTGAGTAAATACTGATTACGCTAGGGCTTCCATTTGGCGTGATTGCAGTCTCATATACTCCCCTCTTCTATCCATCAGCTCCTGGTGTGTGCCAACCTGAAAGCATGAGCCAAGGTAAAGGATCGTGCTGGTTATAGAAACAGACAGTTTGGCTAAATGCTCATACAGCATAATACAGTGGGAACTTCCACTCACCTCGATAATTCTGCCTGCTGACATTACCACAATTCTGTCTGCAGCGCGGATTGTGGATAACCTGGTTATGGGTGGCAAGTAACGCAGGGATGCAACCATCAATACAGAGATAGTGTGAGACAACCATAGAAAACATTGACAATCCATAGAAGTGGTATAGAACATGGCACCATGACAACATACCGGTGAGCAATGACAATGATGGTTCGTTTTCTCCTTCCACTTGCGTCTGCATCCTCATGCATGGCCTGGTCCAACGCCATCTGCCCATGCACACGCGTGAGAGGGGGAAACAGGGATACAGGGAGGCAGAGAGCTGATGCACCTCTTAGAGATGCAAGGAGCTGCAGCGTGGGGATTGGCAGCTGCAGCTTTCAAGCAGTGGGGGAGAAGCTAGCATGCACCGAGCCTCTCACCAGACAGAATCGACACCCTTCCAATCCCTCACTCCACCTCTCTCAACCTCACTCCACCTCTCTCACACCCACCTGCACGTAGTGCTCGCTCTCAGCATCCAGAGCACTGGTCGCCTCATCCAGAATCAGCAGAGTGGGGTCGCGCACTAAGGCACGGGCAATTGCAATTCTTTGCTTCTGCCCGCCACTCAGCCGCGCGTTGTCCACCACTGTGTCGTAGCCTTCGGGCAGCCCGGAAACAAACTGATGCACGTTGGCCTGGGTAGCTGCCCGGGTGATTTCCTCCTGGGAAATTTCCTCACTGCTTCCATATGCGATGTTGGACGCCACGTCTGTGCTGAACAGCCGGGGCTCCTGATGACATGGCGCAGGGAGGGTGTGGGGTGCACATCAGACGGAGTATGATTTTAATTTCTTAGGCGCCTAAAAAATATACTCCTGCTGCTGCAGGGAGGGTGTGGAGCGTACTTAATGGGGTATTGGGGTATGGAGTATGGAGTGGGGCGTGGTGGATATGGAGCGTGGTGGTGGGTATGATCACACCTTGCATGTATGCACAATTCACACAATGTTAGACAGAGTATGGTGGATAAGGGCTCATGGGTGTTTGACTGTGGGTTGGGTTGGGATCGAGTAGAGAGGAAATGGGGCGAAGGAGAGGGCGAGCTGACCTGGCTGACGACGCCAATGTGGCTTCTGAGCCACGCAATGTCGATCTCCGGTAGAGGCACATCGTCTATGAGCACCTGCGTACAGGCACACGATAGGTGTCAGGAAAGCAGCGGCTGACAGAACCAGCAGCCCCCCAAACGCACTGAAAACCTCTTCCACCTCTCCACAACCCTCCCTCTCACACCCTCCCTCTCGTACCCTCCCACACGTGTCCCTCTGAGCTCGTACAGCCTATGCCGCAGCGCAGCCTCCCTAGGGTGCTGTTGTCGCTACTGTTTTGAAGGCAGTTTGCCGCACTCAAAGTTCGGCCATTTTTATGGCGCTTCCAAAACACGATTCTAACTTTGGACCTGTAACCCTGGCCGCTCTCACCTGCCCCTCGGTGGGCTCGTACAGCCGCTGCAGCAGCCCCACCAGCGTGCTCTTGCCACTGCCACTAAGCCCCACCAGCGCCACCAGCTCGCCTGGTTGGATGGTCAGGTTGATGTGGTCCAGTACAGGCGCCTGTAAGGGGGGAATTGGGAGGTCCGGGGTCGAATACAGAGGAGAGGACCAATACAGGTGACTGCAGGGGGTGTTGAGAGGGGCGGGGGTCTGAATGGTCAGGTCGATGTGATTCTACTGCAGGGGTGACAGTAGGACGGAGGGGGGGGGTTACTGTAGTGTGGCAGGAGGGAGGCAGGACGGTTGCTTTTGGCTTGGTGTCACACTTTCAGTAGCACGCTTCATGCTCACACTCTTACTCATGGCGCACATCTGGGGCTGGGGCGCACTTCAGGGAGGGTGCGGCGCACCTCCGGGAGTGGGGCGCACCTCAGGGCGGGTGGGGTAGCGGAAGGAGAGGTTGCGGAACTCCAGCTTGCCCATGAGCGAGGGGAGCACGCGACCTGAGGCGAGGTGAGGGGGCAGAGGAGACAGAGAGTGGGAGAGGAGCGAGGGAGCGAGGGAATGAGGGAGATGGGGCCATCAGAGAGCAGTGCTGGGAGGGCCCACAAGGGTGGGGGGGATTGAGTTACGCACGTCACATGGCATGCACCTGTGGCACCTAGCCCCATATAGTCACTTGCACGTATCATTCCCGTGAGTGACCTCCTCAGAGCACGTCAGGTCCAGCAGCTGGGACACTCAGCAGGAGGAACCCCCCAGTAGTCGCCCACCCACCAGGTGGCATGCACCTGTGGGGGGGAACCGACCTGTAGGTCACTGCGTGAGCACTCACCATTCCCCTGAGTAAGCTGCTCTCTGAGTGCGGGAGGTCCAGCAGCTGGAACACTCGGTGGCAGGAGCCGACCGAGTCCACGAGGGACGCCCAGTGGTCGCCCACAGTGACCCGATATCGCTTGCACTCACCGTTCCCCTGAGTGAGCTGCTCTGAGGGCGGCAGATCGAGCAGCTGAAACACTCGGTGGCAGGCACCCACTGAGTCCATGAGAGACGCCCAGTGGTCGCCCACCCACCACGTGGCGTGCACCACCCACTCCGCATATAGGATGAACTGCGTCAGCTGCTCCGCTGTTATGCGCCCCGCCATCACTGCCCCTCCTCCCATTATCAGCGCTAGGACCTGCGTGGCATTGTAGATGGTGTTGCCCGTGCACGTCCACACCCCATACGCCACGGACCGCCTCAGCCCCACATCCACTATCCGCTGCAGAGGCACCTCGTACCTGATATAAGCACACTCGCATGCAGAGACAGTTCCATTCAAGGGTTATTGGAAAAGCAGGAGACAACGAAGTAAAGCAGTGAAGCAGGGGGGAAGTACGCAGGGGGCAGGAGTCTTAGAAGCAGGGGGCAGTGAAGCAGGGGGCAGTGAAGCAGGGGGCAGTGAAGCAGGGGATGCTGGAGATGAGCAGCATGCGTCCTGGTCTGGTTCAAAAAAGGGTCCCGTCCCGGGCACCAGGCGCCAGGCGCCAGGCACCAGGCGCCTATTTTTTAGGCGCCTCAAAAATAGACTCCGTCCCGGGCACCAGGCGCCAGGTGCGCAAGGGGCCACCGCCTTCCTCACCTGGCGACTTCCTTGCTCTCGGTGCCAAACGTCCTCACCACTCGCGCCAGAGACAGGGTCTCCTCCGCCACCTGCAGAGGGGGTCAATGGTGGCGGCGGGCGTGGATGGGAATGGCGTGCAGATGATGGGGGGGTTGATGATGATGGGGGGTTGATGATGATGGGGGGTTGATGATGATGGGGGGTTGATGATGACGGGGGGTTGATGATGACGGGGGGTTGATGATGGGGGGTTGATGATGACGGGGGGTTGATGATGATGGGGGGTTGATGATGGGGGGTTGATGATGATGGGGGGTTGATGATGATGGGGGGTTGATGGTGATGGGGGTTTTGATGATGATGCTGACGAGGAAATACATCCAAAAAGGGCAGGGGACTGGGAAACACTATAGTGGATGGTGGACAGTCGACATCCAGCTGAGATTGAGATGGTTGGGATTGGGTCAACCAGGGATTGGGTCACCCAGGGATTGGGTCACCCAGGGATTGGGTCACCGAGAGCTGAGGGTTGTCTCTGCTCATGGGCGCACCACCTCTATGCCCTCATTGTTTGACTCACCTCGTTGGCTGCCGCGACTGTGTCCTGCACCACCATGGAGCTCCGCCGGGAGAAGCTGGCGGGCAGAGAAGCGCACAGTTGGGTGGGACGCATGGGAGAGTGGGAAGCATGGGGGAGTGGGAAGCATGGGGGAGTGGGAAGCATGGGGGAATGTTGAACATAGGTGAAGGAAAAGAGAGGAAGACAAAGGAGAATTAAGATGGCGAATTAAAATGACGCCAGGACAGTGTCTGTTTCTGCTACACATACCTGCCATAGCGCATGAGCAGGTACCACATGAGGGCGCAGAGGGCTGCTGTCACGAGGGCCATCTGCCAGCTCAGGCGAATGAGGAACACAAACGCGCCTATGCCCTGCTTGGACATGCGGGAGGGGGATGGGGGATGGGGGATGGGGGATGGGGGATGGGGTAAAAGAACAAGTGGAAGGGACATGAGGGCGAGCGGTGACACGAGGGCCAGCACAGCATTGCAGATGCCACACGGAAAATGACTTCATAGGATGTCATACACGGCGTGATGTTGCGGTCCATCACCGCTGTGTGCCGCCGTGTCTCATCGCACTATCAACCTGCACCCACATCCCAACCCCTGCCTCCATCCACTCACCTGCAGCGCGTTTCCCAGCATGATGTCGACTCCAATGAACACTGTGTGCCCGCTTAGTTGCGGTCTCTTGTACGCCACCAAGCTTGTGTCAGTGCACTAACTAGCCTGCACTTGTAGTCCAGCCCCTTCCTCCCTCCCTCTCAACTGCAGCTCGTTGCGCAGCATGATGTTGAGTTCGATGGCCACTGTGTGCCCCACGGCCTGGGTCCAACCCGCAGTCCTGTAAAGCATATTCTACGCCCCTAGTCAACCAAATCATGCCTCAAGCCTGTTACGCCCAACCAAGCACTCAACTGCAGAGCATTGCGCAGTATGATGTGGAGGTGAATCGCCACTGTGCGCCCCACCTGTTGAGGCCTCTCACATGCAGCACACAGCCTACGTGCACTCAAATCCCAACCCCTCGCTCCCTCTCACCTGCAGCGTATTGCGCAGCATGATGTTGAGGTCTATCGCCACTGTGTGCCCCGTGTCCCATCGCACTAACAACCTGCGCTGCGCCCATATCCCAACTCCCCCCTCCCCCCCCCACACCTGCAGTGCGTTGCGCAGCATGATGTTGAGGTCAATGGCCACGGTGTGCCCCGCGGCCTGGCAGTCGGAGCCCAGGCGGGACGTGAGGTCGCCCACTGACTGCCCGTCAAAGAAGGCGATGTCCTGCCGGATGAGCGTGCTGTACAGCGACATCCGCATTCGCCGCACCTGGACAGGTGGGGAAAGGAGGGGTGGTTTGGGAGGGGGGGAAGTGGGGGGGCTGGTGGGTCAAAGAAGGCGATGTCCTGCCGGATGAGCGTGCTGTACAGCGACCGCCGCATTCGCCGCACCTGGACAGGGGGAGAACAAATGGGTGGCAGGGGGAGAGAGGGGGGAGGGGCAGGAAAAAGGCTTAAAAATTCATGTGAGAGTGACAGTGGGAACAACCGTGCCCACTAGTGTGTGCTAGTGTGGCTCCGAGGGCACAAATCATATCTTGAGATTTCTCCGAAAAGCAGGCCCACTTACCACGCGATGCAGGTGTGCGTACCATGTGGAGGTTGAGGATGGTGAAGGACGCGGCCCTCAGACCACTGCGGGGGGGAGGACGAGACGAGCGCGGGGGAGAGCGGGGAACGTCAGAGGAGGTCAGGATGCTTGTGGGCACACCTGACGAGGATACGCACCTTAGTATGTTACACACCTGAGGATAATACGCACCTGAATATGATACAAACCATGTCACACACCTGAAGATGATGCACACCTGAAGGTGTTGCACGGCACGCACCTGAAGATGACACGCACCTGAAGAGGCCACAGGCGAGCGTCATGGTGATGAGAAGGTGCACGTTCCGCGTGAACTGGTCCTTGAGCCCGTTGGACGCCGCGAATATGGTCGCCGCCAGGAAGTGCGGGATGGTCACCTCTGACAGCTGGTGGGGGATGACGGATGGGGAGAGAAGGGATGAGAAGCCGGCGTGCATCAGGGGGGGAGGGAGGGCGGATGGGTTGGGGAATACAAGGTGGAAACCAGGTGGAGGACGGGATGATGAGGGGTGGGGGGGGGGGGGGTGAGGGATTGAGGCATGGTAAGTGAGAGGACTGACAGCGGCGAGGGCGAGGCAGAGCGAGGCGAGGACGAGCATGGTCTTGTTGGGCGCGCAGAACCGCCACAGCTTGCAGATGGCGTCCCACAGCTCGCCCGCCGAATCCCCACCCCCACTGCTTTTCTCACTGCCGCTGCTTCTCTCGCCTTTCCCGCCTGCAGCCTTCCCCCCAGCCAGCTTCCGCAGGTCCCACCAGCTCCCGCGTGGCAGTACGGCGCGCAGCACAACCATCGCCCGCAACACGGCTACTGGAATCTGGCGCATCGCACGGCTGAACGCCTCTGGGAACCCAGCCTTCTCATCCGGCAGTGCCGCATTCCGCCGATCCTCGTGCTCCTCTGACTCAGATCCGCTTCTGTCATTAGTGGCGGAAGCGGCCGATTTGCCTCTGTCGCTCACAGCACTCTCATTCCCCGCGCCTGGCGCGCGTGGCGAGGCTTCTCGGTCAATCGTGTGCGCATCTGCTGAAAGATCGCTCCTTTCACGAGCAGCTTCACCCTCCTCTACCACGCGATCGCATCCCTTCTCTTTCTCTTGCCGGTTACGCGACCTCGCGAGAGCGCCGTTCTCCTCCTCGTTCCCTGCTGTCTCCGCGCCCATCTGCGCCTCCTCGAACGACTCGATCTCCCACACCCCGCCGCCTGTCCCGCCTCGCCCCGGCCCCTGCTGGTCCCCCAGCGACCATTCGCTGTGGCTGCTGCCATCTGCCGTCTGGCACACGACAACCGGGCGACGAAGGCTGGACTTTTGGACTGGAAGCGACGAGGGAGAGGGGAGTGATGCGGGAGACGGACGGTGCAGGAAGTAGGGAGTCCCTAATCGGCGAGGAAACGTAGAAGTGGGTTTGCTGGTGGATTTAGATTGTTGCCAGGAATGGGATCGCAATCCTTTGCTGGCTGAGCTGCTGAGAATAAGGTGAGCCGCAAGAAATGGCTGCTGCGGGGATTTACTGACAGCGTGTGTGATCGGGCTCCTGGGGATTCGACCTAATTCTCCGGCGAGCGAAAAGTGACCATGATTCATTGTTCGAGCAGGTTGGACTGTAGACATTATAGCTTCCACGGTGGCATGGACTTCTAAGTCAATTGATTAGGGCTAAAGTGTAAGGAATATAGCTTCGAAAGCAGGCCACTGGGAGTGGTGATCGAAGTCTGAGCCACGGCTCTGAAGCAAATGAGGCCTGACGATGTTGCTTGGCGATCGCGACGGAAAAGCGAGTACTGTAAAGAGGGGAATGTATAGCCTGAAGTGAATCAAGCCAGCATCAATCACTCTAAGGAGACATAAAATACACACACAGCCATGCACTCGAGATAACCAAAATCCAGGAACCAGGAGCAAAGAACGAGGTCCTGCGATAGCAGAGGCAGATGTGGAGACTGGAGAGGAAGGAAGGGAAAGGAAGGAACTGCAGCCAGGGAATGCGGTAGGCTGGTGGCGGCACAATCTGACGAGCCGTGAACTTTTGTGGCCCTCAATGCTTCGAGATTTTCGAGGTGAGATACACGTGGCAGGACACTGCCTCTTGGTGTCTCCGTTCACGAAGCGGCACAAGAACTAAGCGCTGGCGAATCTCAACTGGTGAGAAACCTGATTTCGTGCAGGCTTGGTAACTCTCGCATGGCCTTCCCATCTTGGTGTTTTCCTCTTCGCATTCAGTTTCGTTCAAGCTTTTTTGCGTATCGCAGTAACTCGCCACTGCAATCAGGTCCAAGCAAGGACAAGCACAGAAACTTGCCAGATGCTTCATCCCCTGCGTCAGCAAGCAAGAATTGCAGATTCCAGCAAAAGCAGGCCAATTCATGGCTGCTTTATTCAGAGACTACTAGCGTAGCACAGCTCGCTGATGGACAAGACGTGCACAGGAAATACCGCTATTGGATTATGTCAGTGTTCTATTCAACTAAGCTCAACTAGCAGAAACGTAGACCGCCAGAGCGTTAATTTGTGCACCAGCAAGTTTAGTCAGTGTAATCCGCATGACTGCTTAACTGACTTACGCCATCGAATTCCGCCAGTGATCCTTCTTTCTGCCAGTGGTCTCTCCGCCTCAGCTGCACGATCTCCCGTATTTACCAATCCTGAGAATCGCCGCATCTCGAAGCGTCGGTCACGCGCAACTGTCTCAAGTGCACTCCCAGGCGCCGTCATGGCTGACTCCAACTACCTCACCATTACCGCTATAGTCACCATCGCGTATCAACTATCATTCTTCGTTATTGCTGCTGGGTTCAAATTCGATAAAGTCACCGATTTTGCGGGTGAGCATCAGCCGATTGTGAACTTTTCAAAATAATCGTCCTCGGTTCCAACGCTTTCTACGATGGTCTGTCGAAATCGACACGTCTCCGCCTCTCATGCGATGCCGTTTTCAGGAACCACCAATTTCATTGTCCTCGCTCTCCTCACCTCGCTTCTCAGCGGGAGCTGGTACCCCAGGCAGGTAATGCTCTCTGCTCTACTGTGGTAGGTTTTTAACAATTCTCAGAAACCTATCCACGCAGGTAACGTGCTCTGCTCTACTTCCGTTCCATGTCTCGAGACAACAATTTGCTAGCCTTTTCTGCTGGAGGTCTTGAAACGAAGGCCTTTGGAGCTTATGGAGAGGGAGGGATGGTTGTCCCTCGGTTTCCCGCTTCTCGTGTGGTCTTGTTCGTCCGTGCAGGTGCTGCTGACGTCCCTCGTGGTCATCTGGGGCCTCCGCCTCGGTCTCTTCCTTCTCTTCCGGTGTGCTAACCTGTTCTCCTTGATTACTTCTTGACATCTTTCCGCTTTTCTAACCTGTCTAATTCCACTTCATACCCTCCGTTCCCATCCTCACGTACTTCCCAGCTCTCTCTGGTCCGCAGCTGACCTGCTCTACTTCCATCACTTTCGCTCCCAACTCTCTTATTTCTGCACCGGCCAGCATCCTCGCGTGGGGTGAGGACCGCAGGTTCGACCAGACTCGCAACAACGTCCTGCAGTTCGCCGTCTTCTGGGTGTTCCAGGTACCACTACCATCCCACTTACTTTGGACTCTGTCTTGCACTGGCAGTCTGTGCTTTCTGTTATCCCAGTCCTTCGTAACCTGTTCCCTGTTCTCCTTATTTTCCACTCTCTTTGCGCTGTTTCTGTCTTGCTGGTCACGACTTTCATGACTTGGCTCCCGTTCCCCCCCACGCGACCAATTTGTTATAATTCTCAAAAATTCCCCCCAACCGCCCCTCATCAGGCAGTCTGGGTGTGGGTGGTGTCCCTCCCAGTCACGTTCGTCAACGCCACAGTCACCCGCAACCCCCCTCTGGGCTCGCTGGACGCCCTGGGCTGCGCCATGTGGGCGGCAGGCGTGCTGCTGGAGGGGGCGGCGGACCAGCAGAAGCTGCGGTTCAAGGCGGATGCTGCCAACCGAGGCCACTGGTGCGACGTGGGCGTGTGGCGCTGGTCCCGCCACCCCAACTACTGCGGCGAGGTGAGCGGAGATGTAAGGTAGTGAGGCTGGGGAGGAGAGTGCGGAGATGTTGATTTAGTCGTTTAGGTGTGCAATCTACTCCAGAAGTGGGAGGTCAGAATCCCGCTTGCCTTGCTACTATGCAAGCATATTTTCGTCCTGCCATACCACCCACCCCCACCACCCCCTCTCTTGTCTTCCCTTCAGGTGTCTGGCCCACACGCAAGTGTCAGAGCACCGAGCCCTTGTCGTACTGCTGCCAGGCCACTCACATTCCTCGTATCCGTTTCCTCAAACGTCCTTCATTTCCCCTTCAGATTATGGCGTGGGTGGGGGTGCTGGTAGTCAGCTCGCCTGTGCTGCAGGGGTGGCAGTGGGCGGCCGTCATGAGCCCTCTCTTCACTGCTGCCATCCTGCTCTTCCTCTCCGGCATGCCGCTGCTAGAGGTGCGCACGGCATGAATGCATGATGGCGGAACGGGTCTGATGCATGCATCCTGCACTGGACACACACCACCCAATTCCTAAGCCCCGTTCTATTTCTGTCTCCAGGCCTCGGTCGAGCCATGCGCGCTTCCCTTTGCCCCATGCGCACTTCGCTTTGCCCCATGTGCGCTCCTCTTGGCCCCATGTGCGCTCCTCTTGGCCCCATGTGCGCTCCTCTTGGCCCCATGTGCGCTCCTCTTGGCCCCATGTGCGCTCCTCTTGGCCCCATGTGCGCTCCTCTTGGCCCCATGTGCGCTCCTCTTGGCCCCATGCGCGCTTTGCCTTGCTTTTCTTGGTGCCATGGGCACTTTCCTTCGCCCCATCCACCCTCGCCAGGAGTCTGCCAACAAGAAATTCGGCCAGCGAGCAGACTACCTTCAGTACCGCGCCACTACCAGGTGCGTGCCACTACCAGGTGCGTGCCACTACCAGGTGCGTGCCACTACGAGGTGCGTGCCACTACCAGGTGCATGCCACTACCAGGTGCATGCCACTACCAGGTGCGTGCCACTACCCGGTGCGTGCCACTACTGGGTGCGTGCCACTACCGGGTGCGTGCCACTACCGGGTGCGTGCGACTACCAGGTGCGTGCCACTACCGGGTGCGTGCCACTACCAGGTGCTTGCCACTACCGGGTGCATGCCACTACCAGGTGCGTGCCTCTACCAGGTGCGTGCCACTAACAGGTGCGTGCCACTACCGGGTGCGTGCCACTACCGGGTGCGTGCCACTACCGGGTGCATGCCACTACCGGGTGCGTGCCACTACCGGGTGCGTGCCACTACCGGGTGGGTGCTGCTACCAGGTGCGTGCCACCACCAGGTGTGTGCCGCCACCAGGTGCGTGCCGCTACCAGGTGCGTGTCACTGCCAGGTGCACGCAAGCACTGCCAGTTTGATATGTTTTTGGTCTCATGTCCTGCTCACGGCCCTCGCATGTCTTCTTGTAGAGTTTCCAGTGGCCGTTCTGTTGTGCAGCCTTGCAGCGTTGCATGATTGCAGCCTCGCTGGTGCTCGCCTCCGTCTACTCTCATCGAGATGTGCATCTCAATGACTGGCTCTCTCTCGGTGCGTTGCTATGCTTGGTGTGCACACTGCGCAGCCCTCTCATCCCCCTCCCTCCCGGCCTCTACGCGCTGCTCCCTCACTTCATCAAGTTCGCTTTCTTCCTCGAGCTGCCCATCTACGCCGAGCATCTTTCAACTGCCCGGAACTCTCTCATTCAAGAGGACCAGTAGCACTGACTGGAGGAGTAGCAGGGGGTTTGTGACTAGGCGAGAGCAGCAGCAGGGCTGCGCAAGAGCATGTGTAGCCCGCATACCCAACCGCAGCAGCTCCCACCCCTCCTCCCTCACTATGCTGCACAGTGCTGCTGTCACAGATGCAGTCTGCAGGCATAATCAGGAAGATTTATCCTCCTATTGAGTAAAAGAGAGGGATCCAAGGAACATGACATGACATGATGCAGTAGGTACAGCAAGCAGTGAAGAAAAGCATTTTCTTTCCATCTTGCACATGAAGTTGTGGAGTGTCAGGTGGGTCTAGGCACGGGAAGATTGAAGCCTGGGTAGTATGTTCTTCAAATGACTGAAGCTACCACAGCTACCGTGCGAGTATCTTCCACCACTTTGATGCTTGAGCCTGGCTGGCTCCTAAGGTGCAGGACGTATGGTGACGTGCTCTCCATACTCTGCCGACAACCAGGAAAGCTGTGACACACAGACACACAGCACACGCGCACTCTCGCACACATGAAAAGCAGCAGTGGGAATAATATGCATGGCTCAACAAAGCACAGCTTACGGTGATTGGCAACGCTTTTACCGGCAATAACATGGCTAGTACAGCCCACTTTCCTGGGCCTATTGCAGGAACATACAGGTTGATTTCATCAGTCCCTTGGGCTCAGCTCACCATTCTCTCATCACCCGCTCACCAGATAGTCGGTCCCTGTGACTTGGCTGCGGCACTTGCTGCTGCTGCAGGAGAAGGCAAAGGGCTCGTTGTCCACACAGAAGCTGACGGCGAGGGGGGCAAAGAACGCATGGCAATCATAGAAAGGAAATGGAGAATGACTCAGAGGGGGGCAAAGAACGCATGGCAATCATAGAAAGGAAATGGAGAATGACTCTGAGGTTGGACACCCGGACGGGGTTTGCTAACTGGGGACAGCAAGCTGGAGTCCCACAGGCAGCCAGACACACAGTCACACAGACCTGAGATCTTGACCTGCTATGAGGCACTCAGAGCACTGATGAGCCATGTCTCAGCTCACCCCGAGCTTAAATGGCATAGTCGATTGTGAGCTGCTCGCCCTTGGCAACGCCCCTGCGCGACACCACATTCAGCCCATCCACCCACGCATTCGGGTCGCAGGAATGATTCACCGGTTTCCAGTCTTCCAGCCGCGGGCTCCACACGGCCCATACCCCCGGCCCCACGGACCACACGTACTGGCGGAACCATAGCTGCTGCTGGGGCGACCATTCCATGTCCACGTGCTGCCGCGTCATCAGGTGCACTGGCCCCTCCTCCGCCAGCTTCACCGTGTTGCCCTGGATCAAGTCCCGCACGGCGAAGAGGCCGAAGCAGGGGGGAAACTACGGCTGAGAGGGCTCAGTTGCGGCGGTGGGGAGGGGGGATGAGGGGAGTGAGGGGAAGGATGGGAGGGGCGAGGAGCCATTGGCAGTAGAGACCGCTGCAGCAGTGGGTGCAGCAGCTGCAGCAGATGCAGCAGCAGGGAGTGATGTGATTATTTAGCTTGTAGTTGCTGTAAAGGAGCACTGCTTAACGAGGACGGAAGGCTTTTTGCGCTCACAGCGTTGCACAGCAGCCAGCAGGATGCGGCGCAGAAAGGCGCAGTGGTCGTTGGCGGGGTCCACAGAGAGGATGAAGTCGGCAGTATCCGGATAGTAGTCCGGGGGGTAGAAGACGCCGCAGTTGGGGTTCATCTCGAAGAAGTAGATGATTCCCTGGGCGTCTGCTCGAATGTCTAGTCTGGAGGGTGGGTGTGAGGATATGGGGTGAGCATATGTCAGGGCAGGAAGCAGTTACATGAGAAGAAGGCACGACCCGAAGACCACCTCATTCACCTAGAACGTAACGCTCACCCAGAATTCAACTCTGAAAGCTGAGAGTTCTTTCAGAGGAAAAAAGGTCCTGAAGCATCAAGCTCCTGCCATACCCAACGGTCCCGAGAGCAGCGAACATGGTAGCCACCATGCTGCGCAGCTTGGCATCGATGGCCTCGTCCTCCACGCGACGCCACTCCAGCCCCTCGCGCCAGTCCTGGTCGAAGTGCTTGAACTCCTTGCTCCACACCCCATTCATCATTGCTCCTCACAACATCCGTCATTGCTCCTCACAACATCCGTCATTGCTCCTCACAACATCCGCCATTGCTCCTCACCCCTCCCATCATTGCTCCTCACAACATCCGCCATTGCTCCTCACAACATCCGCCATTGCTCCTCACCCCTCCCATCATTGCTCCTCACCCCATCCATCAATGCTCCTCACCCCATCCGTCGTTGCTCCTCACCCCATCCGTCATTGCTCCTCACCCCATCCGTCATTGCTCCTCACCCCATCCATCATTGCTCCTCACCACATCCGTCATTGCTCCTCACCACATCCGTCATTGCTCCTCACCCAATCCATCATTGCTCTTCACCCCACCCATCATTGCTCCTCACCCCATCCGTCATTGCTCCTCACCCCATCCATCATTGCTCCTCACCCCACCCATCATTGCTCCTCATCCCATCCGTCATTGCTCCTCACCCCATCCATCATTGCTCCTCACCCCATCCATCATTGCTCCTCAACCCATCTCATCATTGCCCCTCACCCCATCCATCATTCCTCTTCACCCCATCCAACATTCCTCTTCACCCCATCCATCATTGCTCCTCACCCAATCCATCATTTCTCTCCACCCAACCCATCATTGCTCCTCACCCCATCCGTCATTGCTCCTCACCCCATCCATCATTGCTCCTCACCCCACCCGTCATTGCTCCTCACCCCATCCATCATTGCTCCTCAACCCATCTCATCATTGCTCCTCACCTCATCCATCATTCCTCTTCACCCCATCCAACATTCCTCTTCACCCCATCCATCATTGCTCCTCACCCAATCCATCATTGCTCTTCACCCCACCCATCATTGCTCCTCACCCCATCCGTCATTGCTCCTCACCCCATCCATCATTGCTCCTCACCCCACCCATCATTGCTCCTCACCCCATCCGTCATTGCTCCTCACCCCATCCGTCATTGCTCCTCACCCCATCCGTCATTGCTCCTCACCCCATCCATCATTGCTCCTCACCCCATCCACCATTGCTCCTCACCCCATCCATCATTGCTCCTCACCCCATCCAACATTCCTCTTCACCCCATTCATCATTGCTCCTGACCCCATCCATCATTGCTCCTCACCCCATGCATCATTGCCCCTCACCACATCCATCATTGCTCCTCACCCCATCCATCATTGCCCCTCACAACATCCGTCATTGCTCCTCACCCCTCCCATCATTGCTCTTCACCCCATCTATCAATGCTCCTCACCCCAGCTCATCATTGCTCCTCACCCCATCCATCATTGCCCCTCACAACATCCGTCATTGCTCCTCACCACATCCATCATTGCTCCTCACCCCATCCATCATTGCTCCTCACCCCATCCATAATTGCTCCTCACCCCATCCATCATTGCTCCTCACCCCATCCAACATTCCTCTTCACCCCATTCATCATTGCTCCTGACCCCATCCATCATTGCTCCTCACCCCATGCATCATTGCCCCTCACCACATCCATCATTGCTCCTCACCCCATCCATCATTGCCCCTCACAACATCCGTCATTGCTCCTCACCCCTCCCATCATTGCTCTTCACCCCATCTATCAATGCTCCTCACCCCAGCTCATCATTGCTCCTCACCCCATCCATCATTGCCCCTCACAACATCCGTCATTGCTCCTCACCACATCCATCATTGCTCCTCACCCCATCCATCATTGCTCCTCACCCCATCCACAATTGCTCCTCACCCCATCCATCATTTCTCCTTAGCCCATCCGTCATTGCTCCTAACTCCAGCCATCATTGACCGTCAGTCCATTTATCGTTGCTCCTTACCCCATCCGTCATTGCTCCTCATCCCATCCATCATTGCTCCTGACCCCATCCATCATTGCTCCTCACCCCATCCATCATTGCCCCTCACAACATCCGTCATTGCTCCTCACCCCTCCCATCATTGCTCTTCACCCCATCCATCAATGCTCTTCACCCCATCTCATCATTGCTCCTCACCCCATCCAACATTCCTCTTCACCCCATCCATCATTGCTCCTGACCCCATCCATCATTGCTCCTCACCCCATCCACCATTGGCCCTCACCACATCCATCATTGCTCCTCACCCCATCCATCATTGCTCCTCACCCCATCCATAATTGCTCCTCACCCCATCCATCATTGCTCCTTACCCCATCAACCATTGCTCCTAACTCCAGCCATCATTGACCGTCACTCCATTTATCGTTGCTCCTTACCCCATCCGTCATTGCTCCTCATCCCATCCATCATTGCTCCTCACCCCATCCATCATTGCTCTTCGTCCCACCCGTCATTGCTCCTCACTGCACCCATAATTGCTCCTCACCCAATCCATCATTTCTCCTCACCCCATCCATCATTGCTCTTCACCCCATCCGTCATTGCTCCTCACCTTATCCGTCATTGCTCCTCACCCCATCCATCATTGCTCCTCACCCCATAAATCATTGCTCTTCACCCTAACCGTCATTACTCCTCACGCCATCCATCATTGCTCTTAACCCCATCCATCATTGCTCCTCACCCCACCCATCATTGCTCCTCACCCCACCCATCATTCCTCCTCACCCCATCCGTCATTTCTCCTCACCCCCTCCATCATTGCTCCTCACCCCATCCGTCATTGCTCCTCACCCCATCCATCATTGCTCTTCACCCCACCCATCATTGCTCCTCACCCCATCCGTCATTGCTCCTCACCCCATCAATCATTGCTCCTCACCCCATCCATCATTGCTCCTCAACCCATCTCATCATTGCTCCTCACCCCATCCAACATTCCTCTTCACCCCATCCTTCATTGCTCCTCACCACATCCATCATTGCTCCTCACCCCATCCATCATTGCTCCTCACCCCATCCGTCATTGCTCCTCACCCCATCCATCGTTGCTCCTCACCCCATCCGTCGTTGCTCTTCTCCCCATCCGTCATTGCTCCTCACCCCATCCGTCATTGCTCCTCACCCCATCCATCATTGCTCCTCACCACATCCGTCATTGCTCCTCACCCAATCCATCATTGCTCTTCACCCCACCCATCATTGCTCCTCACCCCATCCGTCATTGCTCCTCACCCCATCCATCATTGCTCCTCACCCCACCTATCATTGCTCCTCACCCCATCCATCGTTGCTCTTCAATCCATCCGTCGTTGCTCCTCACCCCATCTGTCATTGCTCCTCACCCCATCCGTCATTGCTCCTCACCCCATCCATCATTGCTCCTCACCACATCCGTCATTGCTCCTCACCCAATCCATCATTGCTCTTCACCCCACCCATCATTGCTCCTCACCCCATCCGTCATTGCTCCTCACCCCATCCATCATTGCTCCTCACCCCACCTATCATTGCTCCTCACCCCATCCATCGTTGCTCTTCAATCCATCCGTCGTTGCTCCTCACCCCATCTGTCATTGCTCCTCACCCCATCCGTCATTGCTCCTCACCCCATCCATCATTGCTCCTTACCCCATCCGTCATTGCTCCTCACCCCATCCGTCATTACTCCTCATCCCATCCCTCAATGCTCCCCACCCCATCCATAATTGCTCTTCACCCCATCCATCATTGCTCTTCGCCCCATCTATCATTGCTCCTCTCCGCATCCATCATTGCTCCTCACCCCATCCGTCATGGCTCCTCACCCCATCCGTCATTGCTCCTCACCCCATCCATCATTGCTCCGCACCCAATCCATCATTGCTCTTCACCCCACCCATCATTGCTCCTCCCCCCTTCCGTCATTGCTCCTCACCCAATCCATCATTGCTCTTCACCCCACCCATCATTGCTCCTCACCCCATCCGTCATTGCTCCTCACCCCATCCATCATTGCTCCTCACCCCACCTATCATTGCTCCTCACCCCATCCATCGTTGCTCTTCAATCCATCCGTCGTTGCTCCTCACCCCATCTGTCATTGCTCCTCACCCCATCCGTCATTGCTCCTCACCCCATCCATCATTGCTCCTCACCACATCCGTCATTGCTCCTCACCCAATCCATCATTGCTCTTCACCCCACCCATCATTGCTCCTCACCCCATCCGTCATTGCTCCTCACCCCATCCATCATTGCTCCTCACCCCACCTATCATTGCTCCTCACCCCATCCATCGTTGCTCTTCAATCCATCCGTCGTTGCTCCTCACCCCATCTGTCATTGCTCCTCACCCCATCCGTCATTGCTCCTCACCCCATCCATCATTGCTCCTTACCCCATCCGTCATTGCTCCTCACCCCATCCGTCATTACTCCTCATCCCATCCCTCAATGCTCCCCACCCCATCCATAATTGCTCTTCACCCCATCCATCATTGCTCTTCGCCCCATCTATCATTGCTCCTCTCCGCATCCATCATTGCTCCTCACCCCATCCGTCATGGCTCCTCACCCCATCCGTCATTGCTCCTCACCCCATCCATCATTGCTCCGCACCCAATCCATCATTGCTCTTCACCCCACCCATCATTGCTCCTCACCCCTTCCGTCATTGCTCTTCACCCCATCCATCATTGCTCTTCACCCCATCTGTCTTTGCTCCTCACCCCATCCATCATTTCTCTTCACCCCATCCGTCATTTCTCCTCAACCCATCCATCATTGCTCTTCACCCCATCCATCATTGCTCCTCACGCCATCCATCGTTGCTCATCACCCCTTCCGTCATTGCTCCTCATCCCATCCGTCATTGCTCCTCACCACATCCATCATTGCTGCTCACCCCATCCATCATTGCTCCTCACCCCATCCGTCATTGCTCCTCGCCCCATCCGTCTTTGCTCCTCACCCCATCCGTCATTGCTCCTCACCCCATCCATCATTGCTCCTCACCCCATCCATCATTGCTCTTCGCCCCATCCGTCATTGCTCCTCACCGCATCCATCATTGCTCCTCACCCCATCCGTCATTGCTCCTCATCCCATCCGTCATTGCTCCTCACCACATCCATCATTGCTGCTCACCCCATCCATCATTGCTCCTCACCCCATCCGTCATTGCTCCTCGCCCCATCCGTCTTTGCTCCTCACCCCATCCGTCATTGCTCCTCACCCCATCCATCATTGCTCCTCACCCCATCCATCATTGCTCTTCGCCCCATCCGTCATTGCTCCTCACCGCATCCATCATTGCTCCTCACCCCATCCGTCATTGCTCCTCATCCCATCCGTCATTGCTCCTCACCACATCCATCATTGCTGCTCACCCCATCCATCATTGCTCCTCACCCCATCCGTCATTGCTCCTCGCCCCATCCGTCTTTGCTCCTCACCCCATCCGTCATTGCTCCTCACCCCATCCATCATTGCTCCTCACCCCATCCATCATTGCTCTTCGCCCCATCCGTCATTGCTCCTCACCGCATCCATCATTGCTCCTCACCCCATCCGTCATTGCTCCTCATCCCATCCGTCATTGCTCCTCACCACATCCATCATTGCTGCTCACCCCATCCATCATTGCTCCTCACCCCATCCGTCATTGCTCCTCGCCCCATCCGTCTTTGCTCCTCACCCCATCCGTCATTGCTCCTCACCCCATCCATCATTGCTCTTCGCCCCATCCGTCATTGCTCCTCACCCCATCATGCATGCACGCCAGGAGTCTGCAAACAAGAAGTTTGGGCACCGAGCAGACTACCTTCAGTACCGCGCCACTACCAGGTGAGTGGCACTTCCAGGTGGGTTCGAGGTAGGCGGGTGTGTTCTATTTTTCTAGATTCCATGTCCTCCTCACAGCCCCTGCATGTCCTCCTCACGGCCCCTGCATGTCCTCCTCACGGCCCCTGCATGTCCTCCTCACAGCCCCTGCATGTCCTCCTCACAGCCCCTGCATGTCCACCTCACAGCCCCTGCATGTTCTCCTCACAGCCCCTGCATGTCCTCCTCGCAGCCCACGCATGTCTTTTTGAAGAGTTTCCAGTGGCCAGTCCAGTGTGTGCGTACAGCCACGCTGGTGCGCACGTCTGTGCACCAGTGCCGCCTTTTCTTGCGTGCTTCTGCCATTTCCTGTCTCAACGACCAAACTCTTCGGTGGTTCACTGCTTGGTGTGCACATTGTGCAGCCCTCTCATCCCCCTCCCTCCCGGGCCCGGCCTCTACGCCCTGCTCCCTCATGTCATCAAATTCGCCTTCCTCCTCGAGCTGCCCATCTACGCCTAGCATCTTTCAACTGCCCGGAACTCCCTCATTCAAGAGGACCAGTAGCAGTGAGACTAGGAGCAGGGAATGGATGCAGCAGAGAAGGAAAGCAGCAGAGAAGTGGAAGGTGGTGGTGATAGGATAGGAAGTGAGATGGCGGCGTTAGAGGGTGAAAACTCAATGACGGGGGTGCTGCATGCATGTCAAGTCTGCCATGTACATCCGTGGCTAACAGCTTGTGGGCTTTGTGCCCATAGCACCGTCGGTAAAGAGAGCTTGATTGGTAAGGAAGCAGCGTTGCTACAAATGCTGGCACAGCGCGCCTTGCCAGGCACTCTAGTGGTAAACCATCACCTTAAATGGACTACCGTATATCCACTCTTTTGGCAACTCAAAAGCCAGCGCTACATACGCATAACAGTGACATTGGCAGACTTCCTCAAAAGTCACGCAGCAGGTTCTTGGAAGCTTCATAGGTGGACCAGACAATAGCGGCAGCCGGGGTGTGGAAGAGCATACGTGCCCGCATGCCTCTCAACAGCGCCCCCCACCCCTCCTCCCTCACTATGCTGCGCAGCGCTGCTGTTACCGAGGCACTCTGTATGCGCTTCACTCCGCACACGCCCTGGAGGCAGGAGAAGGGGACAAGAGGGATTGAGGTGAGGAATGGGAGAGTGCAGCAGAGGGAGGTCGACACACTACAGCCGCCCACCCCTCCTCCTTCACTATGCTGCGCAGGGCTGCTGTCACGGACACACTCTGTATGCACTTCAATCCACACATGCGCCCTGCAAGAGAAGTTGACAACTGGAATGTGTTAAAAAAACCAGCATCCCCCACCCCTCCTCCCTCACTCTGCTGTGCTGCGCTGCTGTCACCGACACACTCTGCATGCGCTTCAGCCCACACCACACACGCCTTGCAGGTAGGACAAGGGGACATGACGTGATGAGGTGAGGAATGGGGGAGTGTTGCATGGGTGGTCAAACACACAAGGGATCCACCCGACACTGCCGCCCAGCCTTCATCGCTCCCCATGGGTTGGCCACAGCACTGCGAAGCCAGCAGCATTGAACGCTTGAGTGACTATCCCCTGGCCCCCCTTCCCCTCCACATTTCCCCTCCTTTCTGCTTGACCCACCCAGGACTGGAGCGGTGTCTTGACCACATCAAGCGGGTCGGTCACCGCACTAGAAAGTGCGCCAGCAGCGCCCCCTGCCAGGACGTGGGGGAGACACTCACCTGGCATTGCAGCCGTGTCTTCACCACATCAAGTGGATTCGTAACCGCACTGGCCAGCGCGCCAGCAGCGCCCCCTGCCAGCACGTGGGTGAGCAGGCGGTCCTCGTCCAGCACGCCCTGCCCAGGCAGCGCCTCCCCGGGGAGCGCCCTGCCAAGCCAGACCTTGGTGGCCTCGTAGGTGGCGAAGTGCACGGCGGTGAAGGGCACGTTCATCACGAGCGTGGTGCGGTAGGAGCGGTAGAAGGCGGTCAGCCCCTCTTCCTGCATCATCTGGATTGTGAGAGGGGGGGAGTGGCAAAGCATGGGGGAACAGGGGCGAAGTGCACGGCGGTGAAGGGCACGTTCATCACGGGCGTGGTGCGGTAGGAGAGGTAGAAGGCCTGTATGCCCTCAAGGGAGGTGGGGCCCTGGAGGGCGCTATTGGGGTTTATCACGAGAGGGGGGGGATCTTGAGGGTCAATGGGTGTTGCAGTGCCGCCACCTTGTCATTCCGGCCTCTTCCTTCCACAACCCCATTGCCTTCTGCTCCCTTCTCAAACTCTCTTTTCCAAAACTCTTCACGCATCCCCCTCGACTCCTCAATTTTCAACCCACGCATTCCGTATTTCTTTCCATTCTCAAAACTAGAATGTGTTTTGGTGTTTTACCATGCCTCCCGGCAGCAGCCACCACGCCATAACTACCCTTTCCCGTGCCCACTGCCTTCCAAGTACCCACCCATACCTATCCACATCCCTTTTCGCCATACCTTGCGGCAGCAGTCCACCACGCCAGCGTAGGGGCTTCGCTTCAGCTGCAGCCGCTGCTTCACCACGTCCATCGGCGTCAGCACGGCGTCGCTCGCCACCGTCGCAAGCGCGCCCGCCGTCGCATGTGCGACTGCAGGTGGCAGCGAAAACCCGAAAACCGGCGAAAACCCGAAACCCTCCGAAACGCCGTTGCTACTATCAACGCCTCTGCAGTTACTGCCGCTAGTCGGTCTCAGCAGCGACTCTTTCGCCGCTTCGTAAACAGCGAAGTACACGGCATGTGCAGGCCCCGCCCCTAGTCCCATGGCTGCTATTCCCCGATATAAGCCTGCTGCGCCTTCCGTTTTAAGAATGGACGAAACTGCGTTTCTGATCGTGGGCGAGCGCGACAGGGTCTGCGCAGCTGCGGATGCTGAGCGGGCGGCTGTACACGTGGATTGGTAGGCGCATGACGAGGCAGCGGCGGCGGTTCGGGGGGCGGCAAGAGATGACAAGGAGGAGAGCGCGGAAGGGGAAGGGGAAGGCGGAGGGGGAGCGGAGAAGGCGGCGGAGGGAGCGGAAGGGATGGTGGTGGCGAGGGCTTGCATGCGAGTTTTGATGGTGTCGACGGGGAACATGGCCATGTGCTCCACCATGCCTGCATGGGGGTGATGCCGACATGATGGGAACATGCCAGCATGGGGGTGATGCCGACATGATGGGAACATGCCAGCATGGGGGTGATGCCGACATGATGGGAACATGCCAGCATGGGGGTGATGCCGACATGATGGGAACATCATGCCAGCATGGGGGTGATGCCGACATGATGGGAACATGCCAGCATGGGGGTGATGCCGACATGATGGGAACATGCCAGCATGGGGGTGATGCCGACATGATGGGAACATGCCAGCATGGGGGTGATGCCGACATGATGGGAACATCATGCCAGCATGGGGGTGATGCCGACATGATGGGAACATGCCAGCATGGGGGTGATGCCGACATGATGGGAACATCATGCCAGCATGGGGGTGATGCCGACATGATGGGAACATGCCAGCATGGGGGTGATGCCGACATGATGGGAACATGCCAGCATGGGGGTGATGCCGACATGATGGGAACATCATGCCAGCATGGGGGTGATGCCGACATGATGGGAACATGCCAGCATGGGGGTGATGCCGACATGATGGGAACATCATGCCAGCATGGGGGTGATGCCGACATGATGGGAACATGCCAGCATGGGGGTGATGCCGACATGATGGGAACATCATGCCAGCATGGGGGTGATGCCGACATGATGGGAACATGCCAGCATGGGGGTGATGCCGACATGATGGGAACATGCCAGCATGGGGGTGATGCCGACATGATGGGAACATGCCAGCATGGGGGTGATGCCGACATGATGGGAACATGCCAGCATGGGGGTGATGCCGACATGATGGGAACATGCCAGCATGGGGGTGATGCCGACATGATGGGAACATGCCAGCATGGGGGTGATGCCGACATGATGGGAACATGCCAGCATGGGGGTGATGCCGACATGATGGGAACATGCCAGCATGGGGGTGATGCCGACATGATGGGAACATGCCAGCATGGGGGTGATGCCGACATGATGGGAACATGCCAGCATGGGGGTGATGCCGACATGATGGGAACATGCCAGCATGGGGGTGATGCCGACATGATGGGAACATGCCAGCATGGGGGTGATGCCGACATGATGGGAACATGCCGACATGATGGGAACATCATGCCAGCATCAAGGAGAAAGTGGGATGGGATTCGGATGGGACGCAGGAGCAGGAATGCTGGTTTTTTTAAAGAATTAGGATGTGAGCGATTGGCGACGCGCACCTGCGACGGATCCTGCGACCATGTGCTGCCAGAAGCTCAGGCCATCCTCTCTGTACTCGCCCTCATCCTCCGCCCCCTCCGCCGCCGCTCCCTGCAACCCCCCCGCTTCCCGTGCGCCTTGATCCGCGCCTTGATCTGCGCCTTGATCTGCGCCTTGATCCGCGCCTTGATCCGCGCCTTGATCCGCGCACACCCGCTCCCCACCCGGCTCTTCAGCTCCGCCGCTTCCGCAGCCCGCTGAATGCGTTCGCGCATCGCTCGCTCCTGGCTCCGCTGCATCCGCCCTGTCCCCTGCCGCCATAACCGCCGCTCTTTCTATCACATCTGCCGGCCTCGCGTCTGTTCCAGCCGCCGCTACCCCCGAGGCAGCGTCGCGGTGAAACCTTTCTTGATTGCCTGGATCCGATCTGCCTTGGTTTCTTAGATCCGATCTGCTTTGGTCACTTGGATCTGATCTGCTTTGATTACTTATAACCGAACGATGCGGCGACAAGTCTCGGCGCGCGATGGTCGGCGGCGGGAGCAACCTGCCGACCTCAGAAGCCGCGACTGCTCCGAGAGTTGGCGACATTCCCCTCCGTCTAGTCCAACCAGAAAGAATTCGAAGACACGCGCCTCAGAAGCTTGCAGGACTAAAGCTCGACCTCGCAGGCCGCAAACAACCGCGGATCTAGTCTATCGCTACCATAAAAGTTATGAACTGTCCATGCGAAACGACATGGAAGAGCGAGAAAAGAGGGAGGAGAGCAGATGATTATTAACCATAGTACACCTTTTCTCCTATTTAGTTACACGTTTTTTGCACGCAGCCTGAGCCTGTAACCAGGAAATCGTAAAACACGGGCAAACGGGACCCTGAAGGGGAGAACCCACAGTAAAAACTGACACTTGGTTACAAAATCTCGCTCATGCACTAGATTAGTTGCCCGCGCGACGTCCCAGTTCTGAGACAAAATTGTCGAAATTCGACTTGGCTGTTCGCTCTCATTCAGACTGCAGCCAATCAGGTTGAGTGTCAACGCGAGTCATGCTGAGAACCTGGAAGGTGGGATTGCAATTTGAACGGTTCCATGTAAGACAATAGAGAACAACGTTTATGAACGACCGAGCATTCTGCCAAGGGTCACCAGAAGCAGCCCCTAAGCTGCTTGCGTGGCGTGGCGTGGTATTGGGCCAACGCTCGTGCTGAAGTCACACTGCTGAGAGATGAGATGACACTGCTGCTCGGCTGACGAGGATGGCTCGGCGTTACAGCTGACAGGGGAGCCCTGCTGTGCCGAGCCACCCACCGTATCCGTGGCTTCACTTCCTGCCAGCGACTCGAACGGCACATTGGACCAGGCTCATGTAGGCCAGGCGTTTCCACGTGGCATGATGACTTGAAGATGGCATGGTCGTTCGTGAATCTGGCACCAAAATCGCTACGCACCTACCAGTTCACATTTACATCCTCTTTAAGAAAATGTCTTGTATCTACACATCCCTGCACTAGTCTATCCTCCGAACTGTGATGGATGATAAAACACGAACACCGGAAAGCTGGTTGGTTCTACAAATACTGCATAGTGTATAATGAACTGTAATATTGCCATGCACATGTTTCCCGGTCCAGTAACGCGCTTCTCGCCCCACAATGGGGTACGCGTTGCTGTGTTGTGATTCGTCACGTGCGTGAACTCGCCTGGATAGGTCTAGACAGCACGTAACGGACTTGTCGGAGACTCATGACCAGCACACCAAAAGATATTCTCCTCCAGTCAGAAAGCCGCAGGCGTCCAGCGAATCACGTTGCACCGACGACATTCGCAATTGGTCATGGTATGGCGGGCAAGCGAATGCGGGGGCAAATCCAGTCCAGGACCCCAAAGGGGCATCGCTTCTATAGGCCGGCTGGTCTGACTTCTAGATCCGCGATACCCGCCTGAGAGAACGGGAGCCAATCTACATTCCGTGGTCGTGTCAAGTGCCACGCGGAGGGGTATTCACGGTCAAGGGGATATGGAGGGAAATATCTGCCAATCACATCCGTTTACCACATTCCTTGTGGCTCAGCTCATTCGACAGACAGATTTTCCGCATTTGAATGGAGAACCATGATGAATGTCAGTAGGAGAGGCGATTTTGGGCCACGGATCCCCAACCGCCACCCCTTCATCGGTCAGCTGCCACAGAATCTGACACCTTAAGAATCAAGGTCTGGAGGAGCTCATGATGTTCATCCACCCACAATTTGTCAGCCCTTGTGTGCCAAGTTCACACGATTCACGTTGCACTGCACAAAAAGAGAGCCACGTCACAAGGCTCGGTCGGTTCGTTGGTCGTCTTGTACTGTACAGTACCGCACTGCACCTCGTTCTTTGCCGGACTGTGTGGCTCGCCACAGGTCGCAAGTTGTCGTCCTTTGAATCTCGATCGTGCGATACAGACCACGTTGCCGACAAAACGGTCGCATAGGCGGCTTCCATTAGGGTCGTGCACAGCACTGCGTACGCCAAGCCAGAACTGAGCGACAGAACCAGTGCACAGCCGACCTTTCTCACTGCAGGAAGGGCTAAACGCAAAATGTTTTACGATGTAATTTTTTTCTAGCCCTTTGAGCCCGAAGAATTGCGGGACCCCGTTGTTAAAGTCTGGAACACCTCGAGCTTCTAAGTAATTTCTCACCGACATTCACCTTTCTCCCTCCCTCCCCGCAAGAACCGGGTCATTGCTATCACACACTGGTCTTTGATCTCAGACGGAAGAGATCTCTGGTCCTTGACTTTAAGGGTGTTTCACGGGGCCAGCATCTTTCGGGCATGCCAGGAACCAAAACCGCGTGAATCTTCTCTTCCGCGTGCGCCTCGCGTGCTCTGCCCCTGCTCCGCACAATGCTCTGAATCCTGCCCAGCTGTTCGATACCTAATCCCCCCACCGTCCCGCGCCCCCTTCCATTCCATTCTCCTCACCTCCCCTCCCCATTCTCGTCCTCATCTTCATTAGTTGGACCTATCTGGTCCGAGTCGTAGCCTAGCTCCCCTTGCCTCACCTTGTCTCCCACTCCTCCCTCCCTCCTCACATCGAGTCCTTCCACATAGACGCTAATTTTTACGTTCCGACCTTCAGTTGAACAGCCCTCTCACAGAAACCCCTTCCTCCCGTCGATTTTATCTTTCAGACACGTCGCCATGACTGCAGACTTATGCGACGACCGGTCACAGGAGTACAGGAAAACTCAGACGAGTAGTCCCGCGAAACGACCTAAAAAATGCCCCTCGGACTTTCTCCTCGCGACGCCTCTCTGCGACCTCCGACTGGACGACGGCGACGATCCGGCACAGCCTGCGATGACGCCGACGCCGTCGAACGACGCCGTTTTTCCGGGATGCACGGCGCGCCTTGACAATTTCTTCTCGATCCGCGACGAGCCGATCGGCGCGGGCCATTTCGGCGTCGTGCGGCGCTGCAAGAACAGAGCGACAGGAGAGGTGCTGGCGTGCAAAACTATTCCCAAGGATCGCCTGCTGACGGAGTCAGCGCGAGACGACGTGCGGCGAGAGGTAGCGATATTGCAGAGCGTGGCGGGGCATCCTGGCGTGGTGCAGCTGCGAACGGTCTTTGAGGACGAACGAGAGATCCATCTCGTCATGGAGCTCTGCGAAGGCGGCGAACTGTTCGACGAAGTCGTGCGACGAAAGAAGTTACCCGAGAAGGAGGCGGCGCTGATCTTTCGCCAAATCGTGTCGGCCGTCGCGTTCTGCCATTCGCGCGGCATTGTGCATCGCGACCTCAAGCCCGAAAACATTCTCCTCCACCAATCATCTCCCGCAAACGGCAATGCCCCTCAACGGCTTGCGAAAGTAGCCGATTTCGGCCTCGCGGTGCAAATCGACCGGCAAACCAAGGCGTGCGGCGTCGCGGGGTCGCCGTTTTACATGGCTCCCGAGGTGCTAAGCGGAGAATACGGCTTTGAGGCGGACGTGTGGTCGCTGGGCGTAGTGCTGTACGTGCTGCTGAGCGGCAGCCCGCCGTTTTGGGGCGCGGACGACAACGCCGTGTTCCGCGCCGTGCTGGACGCGCCGTTAGACCTCACGAGCGGCGCGTGGGCGGGGGTGTCGGCGGAGGCCAAGGGGCTGCTCCGCTGCATGCTGCACCGCGACCCGCGCAGACGACCCTCCGCCGCCAAGCTGCTCTCGCACCCCTGGATCCTCGTCCACGCCTTCGGCGGCCGCGTCGTGCGGAAGATCGTGTCGAGACAAGCCATGGCGACGCTCTCGCGAATCTCCCTGTCTTGAAGATGTCTGCCTGAATGCTTCATGATCAGGAGCTGATTTTGATTCATTATAACACTGCTTCTGCTAGCGGTAACGGGTCATGATTGTAGTATAATGATTTGAGTTGGATGTTTTTACTAAAAGATCAATTTTGTATTTCAACCCCCCTTCTCATCAAGCATGATAATTCGAAATGCTGCTATCACTTCTCCCTTCCCTACTGTTTAATCTTCAGCGTTCACTATGCACAAGATGCTACAGATAGCATACTTGGCGTTCGTCAGTCACAAGCAGGATTTAAGCCTATATACAGGTGGATCGAAAAGGCCAGATTATGGCTAGGTTAGCACATTCTGAATTATTTTCCCACATTTAGCTACTACAACCCCTAGAGCAGGAGCAATAGTTTTTTTTGTCGAATCACTATGTTTCGTTCCTTAGTTGTTGCACTCCACTCCAGCCTGCTGCAGACTGAGCTTCACATAGCTCTCTGCCTTCTCCACAGGGACCAGCGGAACCACATCCGCAGCCTTCTTCACATACTGGAAGCCTGATTTTTGGAGCGACGCCACAACGCTGTTGTACTTACCAGCAGCTGCGAAAACAATGGGGGAAGCTGCTACTACCACATGGGGAACCAGCGGCATGGAGAGCGCCAGGCGCCACAAGAAGACAAGGTACGCTGAGAGAACCGGCTCCAGAGACTCGTAATAGTAGGATTTCGCAGCACCAAGCGCACCCTTTTCCTGACAGTCGTAGAGCGCCTCCTTCGCACGCACCGGAACAGCGCGGACGAAATCAGAAGCTCGGTGAGCTAAGTCTTTGGGGATGTAGCTGTCCGCATACTTCAGAGCCGCGTCAACCTGAACACAATAAGGGCCCATCAGGCTCTCTGCGGTAAAGAAACAGAGCTATCGACGGCTGCGCAGGATCTTGATTCGATCTTACCTTCTCGTCGGCGAAGCGAAACAATTCATCCGGCTTCTCCTCAACCTTACTCCACACAGGGCCAACCACGGTTCGTACCACGCTCTCTACCCTGTCAATCCCTGTTCGAAGAGAGCCTGAGTTTCCCTTAGCTTGCTCATACAGCTTAAAGAGAAGGATATACAAGCTTATCAAAGCGTGCCTAGCAAATTCCAGATGCTTGAGCCCTAGGTCGTCTGTGGAAGCACTCCGAGACGAGGACGGGTCGGCCATCGCGTGTGTGCACCTGAAAATCCTGATCTAAAGAAACTGCTTATCTTGGAAAAAGACTGATGAGAGCTGCTATTACGAAGGATAGGGGCAATGACTTCTCAACAACGGCAAGGAAAAACGTTGTGGAATTTCAGTGCAGTATGACAAGGAGCGAGCTTCCCTGCAGAACTTGAATCTGTGACGTCGGTGGAGAGCCGGAGAAAGGGGCCCGAAATGACAGCTAGGGCGACAACCGCAAGCAACCCAGATGGTGCAAACTTGACACGGCTGGGCAGCAACAAGAGTTGCTGCAATTGGTGGAGAGGAAATTACGACCATCGATTCGTCGGTATTTCGAAAACGAACGGCAGTGAGGGCTTCCCAAGAACCGTCGTAAAAAAAAGGGGTTGTGGAGATCACGAGGCAGCGGTTCGATTCAGTCATCGCAAGGTTCGAGAAGGCGAAGGTTTGAAGAAATATCTGTGGCATTCTCGAGGGAATTGACAGTGGAATTCGGGACCGACGCAGCATGTCCTTGAAACACGCAAGCACTGACCAACCACAACGCGTCACGCCAGGGGGGTGAAGGCAGCGACGTTCATAGCTTGTGTGGGTTGAGTCCCCAATGAAGTTGCAGTTGAACAGTAAACGGCACTTCGGAAACCACATCAACCCTATATTACCTGGGCCTAATAATCGAGATACCACCCATATATGGTCTCAAAACCACCGGAATCTCTACAGAGCCATCCTCCTGTTGAAAGTTCTCTAGGATGCTCACAATCAACCGCGGAACTGCACACGCCGTAGCATTCAATGTGTGGGCAAAGCGTGGTGGAGCCAAAGGCGCTTTAGCCTTTCCTCCTTTCTTCTTCCCTTTCTCTGGCTTGGTAGAGCTTGCATCCTCATCACCAGAGTTTGTCGCAGGACGATATCTGATGTTCAGTCGGCGAGCTTGGTAGTCTGTGCAGTTTGACGCACTAGAGATCTGCACGCCACAATGCAAAGGCACAAGCATTAGGTTGTAATGCCCAACCCAGACACACCACCTCACTTCCCACAGTAAGCGAGAAGTTCTAACTACAATTATACAATACCTCTCCATATCGATTTAGGCCCGGCATCCAGGCCTCAATGTCAAACTTGCGGTACGCAGGAGCCCCTAGATCCGCAGTTGGCATGTCAAGAGTGCTAGAGAGGGATAGACAGGCAGGGGGAATTTGGGGGAGTAGAAATGGAGCAAGGTTTCAGGAGGAAATAGAAATGGTGAGACGAGTCTTGTGAGACAGGTTAAGGACGCAGAGGTGAAGCACACAACATGCAAAATAAAACACGGAAACAAATCTTACAGCACTGTGAAGCACGTACACGAAGTGCAGGCCGAGAGCGGTGTACATCTCCTCCTCTATCTGAATGAGCTCCTGGTGAAAGGCGTCGCTCTCCTCCGGGCGGCACACCACAAACATCTCCAGCTTGCTGAACTGGTGCACGCGGTACAGCCCCCTGCAGAGAGAGCAACAGAGAGAACAAGCAGGGCAGCGGGCGGGAGGGCACGGGAGGATGGAGGGCCATTTGGTTGCGCACAAGGCCGAGCACTTTTTCGAGAATTTCCATGAGAATACATGTGAGTCTGCTGCAGTTAGGCAGGAAGAATGCACATGTTAGGCAGAAGCATGTGCATGTTGGGCCCACCTCACCCCGCCCCGTCCAATGGGCAGCCTCAATGAGGTGCTTCAGGGGCAGGAGAGAGGCACAGCCCCGGTCGCTCTGGCTTACTTAAAATGAATTGTTGATTGCTGGCCATGGGAAGAGACCAGCAATCGACCGTCAGTAAGCGGATGGGAATCACCAACGACGCCTGGCATGACGCATTCCAGAGAGCATTCGCATCCCAGACAGGAATGCCCCCACTCAATCCAAACTCCCTCCACGTTCTCCCTGTCCCCTTCCCACAAACTCAACCCAGTCCACGCAGCACCCTCTGATTCCCATCACATTCCTGCCCCGAGCCACCTTCCCTCGTCCCTCGTCCCTCCCGCGCCGAGCCACCTTTCCTCCCGCCCCTTGCTACCTGGTGGCGGACCCAGCGGCGCCAGCCTCCGTGCGGAAGCAGTGGGAGAAGGCCACTACGCGCTGCGGCAGATCCGATTCGCTAAGAATCTTATCCATGAAGCTGCCGCCCACGGGGATCTCTGCAGTGCCGGCCAAGCAAAGGTCCGACCCCTCCACTGAGTACACCTGGGAGGAAGGAAACCACGAACGGGGAAGGATGAGGTCGGAGTTGGGGTAAGGGAGACGGGACGAGTAAAGGGTGGATGAGGTAGGGAGAGGTCAGAGCCAGAAGGTAGGCGACAAGAGTGAAGCTTTCTGGCGCCATCAGCAGGAGCGTTTTCTTGTCAAGTGCCGCAAGTGCTTCGAGTGCCACCATCTCCTTCTCACCTGCGTGTTGGCCGCGCGGGGTTGGAAGCCGCAGCGCTCCACGACATGCGAGCGCACGAGGTCAGGGGTGGAAACGGGAGTGAAGCCGCGGGCCACGAGCAGGGCGAGCGCCCAGTTGAGCAGCGCCATCTCCAGCAGCGCCGCCTCGTTGCGCAGATAGTAGAACTTGGCGCCGCTCACCTGGCGCGGGGGAAGAGGGGGTTTCGGGGGAATAGAGGCAGAAGGGGGGGGGGGGAGTTTGGGGGTTGGGAGCGGGTTTCATGAGCGGAGGGAAACGAGGAAGATCGGAATGTCGGAACACGGGGGAAGGTGAATAGAGGGGCGGGACGCGCGGGAGGGAATACGGGAGCGACAGAAGCACAGAGCCAAGCCCACAACCATCCACGCCCTCCCCCTTCCTCTCACTTTCGCTTCTTCCCTCCATCTTATCCATCCCCAACCCCTCCTCTAGCCCCCATTTCCCCTTCTCCGCCCCTCGTGCCTCCCGCGCCACCCACCCTCTACAGTTCCCCCCCACCCCCTCAAGAATTTTCTCGTCCCGGCAAGCCTCCCGCACCTCAGCGGCGGAGTCGAAGTCGAAGAGGTCGAGCGCGAGGCCGAGCTCCACGTGGTCCTTGTGGGGGAACGAGAAGACGCGCTTCTCGCCCACCTGATGCGGGGAACGAGGTGGAGACGAAAAAAAGACATGCGGGGTGGTTACAGATACGGCGACCAGCTGCATCCATGAGAGGATTCCAACAGGGAGCAGGGCGATGGCATGGTACGTCCTAGCAACAGCGGGACCGGGGTGAATTGAATTCGTTATTTAATTGGACAGCCGTGCAACTCACCGTTCGCAAAGTCGCAGCCACTTCCTCTCCGCCACGCGGCACGTCAGGATGGGTCAGGTTGGGAAGGCGCTGGCCCTCCCGCTGCAGCTCAGATGCGACCTCTCCCAGCTCAGCCTCCAGGCCCGCGAGCACGTCTTTGAGATGCTTGCCTTCGCTGACCAGCCTCTCTCTCTCATCGGCCTCCAGCTTCGCCTTCATGGCGTTCGCCACTCTGTTCCGCTCCGCGCGTAGCCGATCCACCTCCTGAATGAGGAGATGCATGCAAACACCCACATTCACACACGCCACGCAGCATATGGCAAGCAGGTCATGTACGTTAGATGCATGATTTATTAGAAAACCGGCAGTCCAGAGATCAAAGCAGCAGCAGCGGTATTGCACGACATCATGGGACCGTCAGAAATCATCCTCACCAGATTTTTAGAAACGAAGTCTTCATACAGCTCCACGACTCGGTCCACGTCAGCATTGGACTGCCGTTCCTTCACATTGACCTCCACCAGGTCCCGATTCTCCCTTATCCACTTGAAGTCAATGCTCGCCTTCCACGTGGCAGGAGCAGCAGCCGGTTTCGCGGCACCGTCATCTGATTGAGTCGGGGGGGAAACCTCCTTCGCCTCGACAGCTGCTGAAGCTGCGATCGCCGACGGCATCGCTGAGGACACGGACGCGTATGGTCTGATTCGGTCATTCCGTAATCTTAGCTGGTTTCCAAGGAACGAATCGAGGCGGTTCACTTGAGCCAAAGCGTTATTCGTCGTTATTCTGTGCAATCTGCACGGCTTGGGAGCTGGAACAATTGGTGATCTAGCTGACAAGCTCAGTGCCTCCGCAGCGTGACACGCCATTGTTGCGATTGGTTGCTGAGGTAATCTCAATCCAGCAACCGACGATTCCAGAAATCTGAATTGGCGGATAACAGGAAAGACCAAAGCTTGGTTCGAAACCACCAGTCGCGTTAGCCCTGGCCAAGAAATGTTCATACCCTAATCTCTCTCAGAACCTGATTGAGAGCCACTAACAAAAGTCTGAGAGGCCACCACAGCAAGCTTGCTGGGATTATAGACAGACCAGTAATCCCACCATGACCTGAAAAGGCAGGTCAAAGCTAAGCCCTGAAGCTTTGTTTCAGCATCCACATTCTGCTGCGGAAGTGGTGAGCGATGGAGAAAATTCTGTTGGGTTGGGATGGGGGAGACCCTCTTGGGATTGTCCTGGTGTGATTCTCCAAGTTGTGGAGAATCGAGGTCCACGTCAACGACACTCTGGCAAAAGGAATTCGGCCTCTGTGATGCCACGTCTTGGCCAATCCATTCTGAAGAAATATTGAAGATAATTGAGATAGTCTACACTTTGAGGCAAATACCACAACCATAGTAACCCAACTGGTTTTAATCAACATTGAATAATTTATCCTCTAACAAATGGGCTAAGTAAGAAGCAGAAGGTTTGTTAGATGTCCGTGAAAGGTCAGCTTTATCTTGCAATAAGTTAACCTGCAAAAAACACAAATATACCCTGGAAATGTTAGAAATCCTTAGAGTTGGCACCAACAATCAATGCTCACAGTTCATGCAGGCTCACATACCTGAGTTGCACTGCTAGTTCTTGCCACCTCTTCTACCATGGCCCCGCCTATTATAGCCCCCACGTCGGCCCCTCTGAGAAGTTCCTCCTCCCCTGCTGAAGCTGTACTGCTTCGACCCACTAGATTCAGGTGCTGGCTCATCCTCGCTGTTAGCTTCATTTTTGTTGGCGGAAAAAACCCTGTTGGCTGTCTCACTCTTGTTGGCAGCCTCATCCTTCCCAAAAGCTGCGGGCACAGCTTCAGCGGGCATAGCTTGAGCAGACACAACTTCAGTGGGAGTAGGTTCAGCAGGAGTAGCTTCGGCGGGAGTAGCTTCGCGGGGAGCAGGTTCGGTGGAAGTAGCTTCAGTGGGAGTAGCTTCAGCAGGAATAGTTTCCATACTTGCCACTTCTCCAACCTCCTTGCCAGCACTGGCTCCCTGCTCGGTCTCAGGCTGTTCTACAACCGCTGCCTGTGGCTCACCCATACTGCACTCGTCTGCTGCTGCCTCTTCCTTTCCCTCCGATCCATTAACCTTAGTCGTTGCATCAGCCTGAGTCGCTGCATCAGCCTGAGTCGTTGCATCAGCCTGAGTCGCTGCATCAGCCTGAGTCGCTGCATCAGCCTGAGTCGCTGCATCAGCCTGAGTCGCTGCATCAGCCTGAGTCGCTGCATCAGCCTGAGTCGCTGCATCAGCCTGAGTCGCTGCATCAGCCTGAGTCGCTGCATCAGCCTGAGTCGCTGCATCAGCCCGAGTCGCTGCATCAGCCCGAGTCGCTGCATCAGCCCGAGTCGCTGCATCAGCCTGAGTCGCTGCATCAGCCTGAGTCGCTGCATCAGCCTGAGTCGCTGCATCAGCCCGAGTCGCTGCATCAGCCTGAGTCGCTGCATCAGCCTGAGTCGCTGCATCAGCCTGAGTCGCTGCATCAGCCTGAGTCGCTGCATCAGCCCGAGTCGCTGCATCAGCCCGAGTCGCTGCATCAGCCCGAGTCGCTGCATCAGCCTGAGTCGCTGCATCAGCCTGAGTCGCTGCATCAGCCTGAGTCGCTGCATCAGCCCGAGTCGCTGCATCAGCCTGAGTCGCTGCATCAGCCTGAGTCGCTGCATCAGCCTGAGTCGCTGCATCAGCCTGAGTCGCTGCATCAGCCTGAGTCGCTGCATCAGCCTGAGTCGCTGCATCAGCCCGAGTCGCTGCATCAGCCCGAGTCGCTGCATCAGCCCGAGTCGCTGTAGTTTCCTCAGCTGATTCTGTCCCCACAGCGCCACCCTCTGCCTCGAACGCCTCTGTACCTGGGGATTCCTCCTGAGGCTCTTGCATGACAGGCTGCACGGCAGGGTGCATGACAGGGTGCACGGCAGGGTGCATGACAGGCTGCACGGCATGCACGCCACTGCCGTACGACTCCAGCACAACCACCCGCTCACCGCTACCACTCTCCTCTTTGCAGTCCACCTCCTGTTGCTCTGATAGCTCCTCTTCCTTCTCCTTCTCCTCCTGCTGCTGTACCTTCTCCCCCTCCTGCTGCTGTGGTGACTCCTCTTCCTTCTCCCCCTCCTGCTGCTGTGGTGACTCCTCTTCCTTCTCCCCCTCCTGCTGCTGTGGTGACTCCTCTTCCTTCTCCCCCTCCTGCTGCTGTGGTGACTCCTCTTCCTTCTCCCCCTCCTGCTGCTGTGGTGACTCCTCTTCCTTCTCCCCCTCCTGCTGCTGTGGTGACTCCTCTTCCTTCTCCCCCTCCTGCTGCTGTGGTGACTCCTCTTCCTTCTCCCCCTCCTGCTGCTGTGGTGACTCCTCTTCCTTCTCCCCCTCCTGCTGCTGTGGTGACTCCTCTTCCTTCTCCCCCTCCTGCTGCTGTGGTGACTCCTCTTCCTTCTCCCCCTCCTGCTGCTGTGGTGACTCCTCTTCCTTCTCCCCCTCCTGCTGCTGTGGTGACTCCTCTTCCTTCTCCCCCTCCTGCTGCTGTGGTGACTCCTCTTCCTTCTCCCCCTCCTGCTGTTGTGGTGACTCTTCTTCCTGCTCCTCCTGTACCTCATCCTTCTCATGCTCCTCACCCACCTGCTCCGTCTGCCCCTTCTCCTCCTCCACCACCTCCCTCTCACCCTCCCCATCACCAATTCCACCCACTGTTGCTCCCATCTGCACCTCTGCATCCTCCCCCCCACTGCTCTCCCCGCCGCTGCTCTCACTGCCAGCGAGGCTGCGAGTGGACAGGCCGTCAAACGCCTTCAGCGGCTCCACCTTCTCTCCCACTCCAGCATCCCCCCCCACGAGTGCCGCCTCCTCCACCCCGTGCTGCACTGCTGCTCCGTCCTGCTGCTGCTGAATCAGCACTGCCAGCTGGCTCTCCAGCTCCTTCACACGCCCCGCCAGCTCATCCCGCTCACTGCCCGCCAGCTCAGCGGCCCTCTCCGCTGCCACCTTGGCGGCGTCCAGCTGGCGATTCTCCTCCAGCAGCGCTCTCACGTCCTCCATCTGCTGAGGCGTCAGCCCTATTGCCACCTCGGCTGCCTCTGCTGCTGCTGCTGCAGCCACTGCTGTTGCACCAGTTGTCGCAGTTGCGTCTGATGCTGTTTCTGCTTTTGGCTCTTGTGCATCAGATGTCGCCTTTGATGCAGCTGCTACCCCTGCTGCTGCTACAAGCCCTCCTGATGCCTCCTCCTGAGCTTCCCTCATCTTCCTCCATTCCTCCAGCCTACTCTCACTCTCCTCCAACCTCCTCTCGCTCTCCTTCAACCTCCTCTCCCTCTCCCCAACCCTCCCCTCACTCTCCTCCAGCTGCTCCTCACTCTCTCTCAGCCTCTCCTCTGTCTCTCTAACCCTCGTGTCCAGCACAGCACACTCCTCCCTCACCCTCTCAATCTCCCTCTCCGCTTCAATCGCTGCTTCCTTCCTCCCTGCCTCCACCCCCATCTTAAACCCCTCTGCTGCCCGTTCCTCTCCTGCTGCTACAGCAGCCGCCACAGCCACAGCCACCTCCGCTTCCTCTGCTGCTACAGCCTGGGCTACAGCCTTCTTAACTGCCTCCACTCCTGCTGCTTCAATCTCTCGAATCCTCTCCGCTGCAACCGCCTCAGCCTGCTCTCTCACTGCGTCCACCTCCTCCCTCCTCTCCTCCCTCTCCCTCTCCAGCTGCTGCCTGACATCCTCTGCCGCTGCCTCAGCAGCGTGCACAGCAGCGGCCACCACTCGCTCCTGCGACGCCTCTGCTGCCTCAATCGCCTCCAGCGCCTCCCTCTCCTTCCGCCTCAGCTCCTCAACCCTTCTCTCGCCTGCCTCCACCGCCGCCTTCGCCTCTAGAACCTCCTGCTGGAGCTGCTCCTCCCGCGACTTAGCAGCACTCAGCTGCCCGTGTAGCGCATTTAACTGCTGCTGCCTCTCCTCTGCTACTGCCACAGCTGTCGCAGCCTCAGCAAGCGCCCTCTGCTTCTCCTCTACCTCTCTCACGGCAGTCTCAAGCCTATTCTCAATCTCCCCAGCAGCAGCATGGCTCCTCTCCAGCTCCACACTCAACTCCACCACCTGCGCCTTCTGCTCCTCTATAAGCTGCCTCTGTCGCGTTATAGTGTCCCCTGCTGCCTGTGCTGCCGCCTCCTGCGTCTCCACCAGCTCCAGGTACCGCCTCTTGTGCTCCTCGGCCTCTGCCTGCGCCCCAGCAGCAGCAGCCTCTGCTGCAACAACAGCCTCAGAAGCAGCAGCCTGTGCTGCAGAAACAGCCTCAGCAGCAGCAGCCTCTGCAGCAGACACAGCTGCACTCGCCTCGTCCTTTGCTCTCGCTGCCTCCCCTCTTGCCGTCTCGGCTGCCGCTTCTGCCTCTGCTCTTGCCGCCTCGGCTGCTGCTTCTGCTTCTGCTCTTGCCGCCTCGGCTGCCGCTTCAGCTGCCTCAGCAGCAGCAGCTCGTTCCTCTGCCAGGGCCTTAGCCGCTTCAGCCTGCTCGCACGCTGCAGAGAGGACCGCCTCTGCTGCTGCTGCTGCCACCGCTGCCTCTTCCGCCTTCTCCCTCCATGCCTCCAGCTCTTTAGCTGCGGTGCTATATTCCTTCCCCTTCTTCTGCCATGCCTCCAGGCTTGCTTCCCTCTCCTCCAGCTTCTGCTGCAGGGCTGCGCGCTCCTGCTCCAGGTCAGACTGCGCCTGCTCCAATATAGAGTTCCTCTGTTGCAGTACAGTGCGCTCCTGTTCCGCCAGGGAATGTAAATGTTCCAGTGAGGAGAACTTTTCCTGCAGCAGCTGCACCTCTTGCTCTAGCGCGGCTGACATTAAGGGCACAGGCGTGTTGGTGGGAGTCGGCACTCCTTCCTCTGCAAGATTTCCTGTCTCCCCCTCATCCCCTGATACCACCTCACTCTCTCCACTCTCCCCTTCACTCTCTTCTTCACTCTCTCCTTCACTCTCTCCTTCACTCTCTGTTCCTCTCTCCTCTCTCCTCCCCTCTCCACTTCCCCCTGCGCCCTTCCCTTCCCCCTCCAGCTCCCCCCCCTTACGCTGCTGCAGCGCCTCACACTGCTGCTTCAGCGCCTGGCACTTCCCCTCCCACGCCTGCACCGCCGCCCCCATTTCCGCCTCCATTTCCGTGCGCATCTCATTGCGCCCCTTCTGGTACGAAATCTGCGCCGCCAGCTCCACTGCCGCCAGGGCCGCTGCCTCTTTCCTCTCCGCCGCGGCTGCCTGCTCCACCGCGTCACTCCCCGCCACCTCCCAGTACCGCGCGCGCCCCTCGCTCTCCTCCAGCCGCTCCTCTAGCTCCTTAACGCGCGCGTTCGCCGCTTCCGATTCTTCCGCCATTGCCGCGGAAGCGTCCGCCACGTTCTCCCGCGCCATAGCGGCCTCGAGCTTCGCGTCCGCTGCCTCTCGCCTCGCCTCTTCCGCCTCCCGTTTCGCCTCCTCCGCCTCCTCCGCCTGCTGCTTCGCTACAGTCAGCTCCGCTTCAAGCATCTCCACTATCGAGACGGCCTCGTGGCCCCTGGCTTCCCAAAGCTCCGCCTTCTCCTGCGCCTCCGCTAGTTCCCCCTCCAGCGCCTGCATCTGCTCCTGAACCGCCAGGTATTGCGCCCCCAGCGCGCCGCACTCCTCCCCCATGCGCTCCGCGTCTGCTGCTGCCTTGGCGGCTCGCGCCTCTGCCTCCGCTAACTCCGCCTCTTTCCGAGCAGTTTCCCCCATCGCCTCTCGCGCAAACCTCTCCCATTTCTCGGCAGATTCTTCCGCCTTGGCGAGCTGCTCCTCTAGCTGCCTGCCCCTGCGCACGGCGATCTCCAGCTCCCGCTGCGCGGCTAGAGATCCTTCCGCCTTCCCCACGCGGTACTGCTCCGCTGCTGCTGCCTCCGCCGCATGCCGCGCTGCCTCCTTAGCTGCCGCCACAGCTTCCGCAATTTGCGCCTCCAGCCCCCTTTCCGCCTCCCCTGACTCTCCCGCTGCCGCTTTTCCTCCGCTGGTTCCGCCGGATCCTCCTTCCGCATCCCCTTCTTCCGCATCCGTCATGCGCCGTTCCAGCTCCTTCAGCCTCCGCACTAGCGCCTGGCACTGCTCCGTTCGGGCTTCCGCCTCCCGCTCCGCCTCCGCCGCCCGCGCCTCCGCGCGCGCCTTTTCCGCGCGCTGCTCCTCCAGCGCGCCCTCAAGCTCCGCCAGCCCCTCCATCTGCTGCGCAACCCCCCCCTCCTGGCGCAGCAGCTGCGTCTGCATGTCTAGAATCATCTCGTCCCGCCTCCGCAGCTGCGCGCGCAGCCTGAGCACCTCCTCTCGGCGGGAGGGGAGACCAGCGGCGGAAGACGGGCTGGACGCATGCGCGGATGGCCCTAGCCCGGAGAAACTCCCCACGCCGCTCCCCAGGAGACCCAGCGGCGTGCCGCTGCTCCCCGCGCCTGCGGCGTCAGTTCCTCCACCGCCTGCACCTCCCCCTACGCTGCCGCCGCTGGGGCTGGCGCCGGTGAAGCGGAAGACGCCGGGAGAGGGGGAGGAGAAGGGCGCGTACGGCACCGCCCGCTCACCAGTCTGGGAAGGCGTGCGGAGCTGAAGGGAGGAGGAGGGACCTCCGCCCGCTCCAGGGGCAGAGCTCTCAGGCGTGAACAGGGGCGCCTTTCCCTTAGCCGCTGCAGCTGCTCTGGCTATGAGTGCGTCGGAGGGAAGCGCAGCCCAGAACTCTGGTGCGTCCTTGCCCAGCAGACCGAGACCAACAGGGAGAGCCCCTGCTGCTGACGCCGATGCTGGGAAAGGGGCTGGGGCTGGGGCGCCTGCGCCAGCCACGGCGCCTGGCGCTACTAGGATGTCGTGAGGGGGAGCGAGAGGGGGGAGGGAGGGCGCGGAGAGAAGGGCACCCGGGAGGGCTGGCATGAGCGCCGCTGCAGCGGCGGTGGCTGTGCCAGCAGCCATGGCGGCAGCGGTGGCGGCTGCCGCGTCTTGACCCGAGGATAGGGAGTACGCCCTCGCCCTGCTGCCTGCTCCACCAGCAGCAGCAGCAGCAGCAAGGGCGGCAGCGGAGGAAGAGGAGGGGGAGCAGGCATCAGCGGTGTATGCAGCAGCGCTAGAACCGGCCGGATGGGAGGCAGAGGCAAAGTGAGTTGCTCCCCCCGCGCTGGTCGCACTGCCCTCCCTGTACGACCCCCTGCTCCCTCCCCCTCGCCTCCGCCTCTCGCTGTAGCTCCCCCGCTCCGCGGGCGCCAGCCTCTCCCCCAGGTACGCCTGCCCGGAGTACGCCTCCCCCAGGCAAGCCTTGCGCGACTGCCCGCTGTCTTCTCCGCTCTCCGCCGCCCGCGCGCGCTGCCTCCCCCGGTGCCCGTCATGCCCGCGCTGGCTCCCCTCGTACCCCTCGTGCCCGCGCGAGTGCGCGTGCCTGCGCTCGTATCCGCGGTCGTGGGAGTGGGCGTGGAGGCCGCTGCTGCGCCTGCTGCTGCGCCCGTCCCCGTCCCCCGTGACGTTGCTGCCGCGACGATCGCTCATGGCGCCTGAGGGAAGGGGGAGAGAGAGGTGGGGAGAGACAGGGGGGACGGGGGGATGAGAACAGCGCGAGACGGGTGCGCGCCGACGGGCGACGGGCGGGAAGGGACAGGAGGTACTGACAGCGGTCGAGTGCGAAAACGATGACGAAAGAGAGGAGAGCGCGAGAGAAGGGGAGGGTGTGGAAGTTGGCAATCGCAGTGTCTCGCTCCCTGTTTCTCGCATCACTCACCGTCCCCGCCCACTCGAGAAGACTCTCCGTCGAGGCTCCTTTCCGGCCGCCCATCGCGTCTGCTCAACCTGCGAATCTCGTCCGCACTTCCCGAGCCTGACATCTGTCCCGAGCCTGACATGCCGAAGCTGTCCGACGGTCCGGTGGAGCCGACGCAGGACTCCGTGAGGTGCGACTTGCGCCGCTTGTTGCCCACCGCGGACGCCGCCGCGGCGATGGCTCCACCCGCCAGCAGCACCCACGTGAGGGTGTCGCGGGGGAGGAAGTCCTGCGGGGAACAAGGCGGAAGGGAATGGGGGAAGCGAGGCGGTGGAAGGAGGGGGCGAGGGAGAAGGTGTGGGGAAGGGGGGTGGACTGGTGAGAGAGACACTCAAACCCTTTCTAGAACGGAATGACATGCCACCCAGCGAGTCTCACGCGGCTGGAAAGCAGTGCGTAGACGAGACAGCCTCGAGCGGCTGACTCACCCGTTGCGGCGACAGGTCCCGGCGCCTCTCCCTTAACGAGTCCCGCGCGCCGGCCCGCTCCTGCTGCTCGCGCAGGCGCCTGAGGCGCGCGGCGTCCTCCTCGCGGCGCTGCAGCTCGTGCAGCAGCTGCTGCTCGCTCAGCTCCTCCCACCGCGTGCGCGGCGACATCTCCATCTCCAACGGCAGCACCCGCGTCTGCCCCTCCTCGCCGCTCGGCTCCGCGCCCCCGTTCTCCCCGCCATCATCAGCGTCGGCATCCTCCCGAACCTCCTTGAGGAACGGGAGCGAGGACCGGCGATGCAGCGACGGTTTCTTTTCCGAGCCCGAGCGACTTTTCTCCGCGCTTGACGGCGCCCCCTGCGGGTGCTTCTTTTCCTCCAGGAGCTCTGGCTTCTTCTTCGCGGGGCTCGACTTGACGTCAGCCTCCGTCGCATCGTCCTGCGAGGGTTCTGCGTGTCGCTCGAACAGCAGTTTGCGAAGAATGCGAGGGTCGAGCGACAGCGACCGTTGTGGGCAGTCGAAAAAGCGAGGAAGAGAGAAGGGAAGCGGCAACGGTGGCTGTGTCGGCTCCTGGTCAGCGGGAAATAGGTGTTGCTCGTCGCCCTCGGTGCTGCTGAGCCCCTGCCCAGCCTGATGCTCGATCTGAGCCTGCTCGTTCTGCTCGTCGGCTTGCTGCTGGGACTGCGGTTGCTGTTTCTTCCGCTGCTGCGGCGACGGCAGGAACTGCGTGCGGTAGGAGCTGGTCGGACGGGTAAGGTTGCTGATGAAGCTGGCCAGCGACGAGTCTGACGACGACTCCGGGGCTTGCGACATCCTCACGCGATTCTGCACGGAAGAGGAAATTGATTGAAAGGCATCGAAGAAATTAAGTGGAAAACTTGATGCTTGGGATGGAAATAAAGTTTAGCTGTGGCTGGCTCCAAGCATGCAGATGCTGGACTGGACACTCGCGCTCAGGCAGAAAATAACATTACTGGAAGAGGAAGCAGATAAGAGGAGAAATACTAAGATAATTATGACTTCCGACATAAGTCATTATAGACTAGATGGTGGACAGCAGCACGTCTGGGCAATTAGCTGCGAACGACTGGGACCAGTGCATCGAGATTAGCGAGCAGTACCCGTATGCTGATGCCCTTATCATCCAACGTGTACGAAGACCACCCCTCGCGCTCCATCTAGAAACTTGATCCAGACGAGAAAGTAGTGTCAGTGATAAATGCGACCTAGAGCGCCTAACGCAGTTATGTCAGGTAGAGTAAGCTGGCCATTTCCCAGCTGGTAAACTGACTATCCCAAGAGCTGCTCGAAGATGGGAATTGCTGGCAAAAGCCCCCTCGACCGGCATTATCCAGCACTTCAGCAAGGGGAGGAGGTCCAAGTGCAGCTGCCAACACCCCAACCTGCGTTTGCCAGCACCAAATTGGCCCCAGAAAGTAGCCGCTAACGGACCTCGCTCATTTCGAGCCGTTACTATCCGTCGATCTCTCCCTGCTTGCAAAGAACAGGTGAGGCAATCGAACGGCGAAAATTCTAGTCAAAATACCGAAGCACTCACCGCCGAGGCACAACCTCAGCTTTGACACCCCACCTCGAGACTCGTCTTTGCAAGCTCACCACAACGGGGAGGCTCGGCTTATCGTGTCGCGTGTGGCTCGGTGCAGTTCGCGCCAAATTGGCCATGGAACTCACGTCGAGCAACGGACAAGCTCGGGAAGTACACCTCACAAAACATACATTTCAGCAGAGCGTGGGGGATTCTCTACTATAACGAATGAAGGAATCTCCCTTCAACGCGTATTGTTTTTCTGCCTCGATTTCTGCCTTCGTGCATGTTCTTTCGCAACTGTCGTCGCGTTACAAACGGCGCTCACAAGCCATGCATGGCATCACCCGCCATCCACGAGCTGCTCTCATCCTCATCTCCTCATAGCTTGAGAAAGCCCCACCAGGAGATCGCTGAACTCCTAGCCTGGGTGACACATCAAGAGAGCTCTCAGCTCTCTTGGTTTCTGAAACCCTTCCTAGTCCTGCAGGCGGTCTAAACCGCCTGGAACAGCTCATCTCAGCCGTGCTTCCGCTCTCGTTGGGCCTGCGTGTCGCCCGTTCCCCCATCGGCCGCCTTTTTGCGCGTCCGCTTAGCTTCTCTAGTCGCTTGGGTTCAGGGAAAACCTTCATTTCCCCCCTGTTAGACGTTCCCGTTTAGAGCTATTGTACACGGCAGAGTATCTTTCAGGCGCCTGCAATCGGTGATGCGGTGATGCGGGAGGTGAGTCGACTGTTGGAGCAGCTCTCTCGCGTGCCGTGCTGGCTTGGTGGTTCATAAGAGCTTGGACTTTTGGTTAAAACTTACAGGGGTAGGCTGGCCAATGCCGGTTCTCCCCCCCGCCCCCCCCCCCCTTTCTTTCCTGCTCACACGCTAACACGGTTTCCTTACTCCTCCGCTATCCTGCAGGATCTCGCGTCCCTCTAAGGAACCAGGGGCGACCAGGGCCCGGCGCGCCATGGACGACCTGGCGAGCGTGTGCAGCACGAGCACGGCCGCCGCGTCCATCGACCCGGCGGAGTACTGGCGGCAGTACGACGCCGTGCGCCTCACGAAGAAGCACTGGGCCAGCGAGGCGGACGACACGGACACCGACTCCTGGCGCGGGACTCCTGGCAATGACCGCTCGTGGGGCGTGTCTGGCGCTACCGCGTATGGCGCGTCGTGGGGCGGCGCTAACAGCGCAGGGTGGGGGTCGCCGTCGTCCACGGCCGTCGTGCCCGGGTCGGAAGAGGCGATGGTTCTCACGGCGCTGGCGGCGAGTGAAGAGGCAGCGGCAGCGGGTGCGGTGGGAGCGGCGGCAACGGCGGCAGCGGCAGGAGGTGTGACGGGGAGTCAGGAGAAGAAAAAGAAGGCGGCGAAGAAGGGGACTGCTGCTGCGGCGTCCGCTGGTGGCGCAGCAGCAGCAGCAGCAGCAGCAGCAGCAGCAACATCGGCGCAGAAGAAGCTGCCGCAGGCGAAGCCCGGTAGCCCCGCGCCCGCTGCAACCAAGAAGAAGAAGAAGAAGAAGTCGGACGTGGTGGGCCCTGGGCTGGCTCCTGTGGCTCCGGGCATCTCCGGTTACAGCGTCAGCGGTTACAAGCCGCCGTCGGTGGTTACCACCGCGAAGCCCGCGGCGAGCACCAGCTCCGTGCGGTCGGTGGCGGGGGTGGCGGGGGTGGCGGGGGTGACGGGGAGCAGCCCCTCCCCCTGGTGGGCTCCCCTGGGCGGCACCGCCACCGCCGCAACCGCCGCCGTTCCCGCCAGCAACAGCAGTGCGCCGGGCAGCGCGACCTCCCTGCCAGCGGCGCCGTCTCCCCGCGTCCCGCCAATGGCGCCCCTTCCGCCTGCTGCTGCGCCACAGCCAGCTCCCTTCCCCCCTCAAGCGCCTCAGCAGAACGCGTTTTCCCCCCACCAGCACCCCGCTTTCAATCACTCCGCCCCGCTTCTCACCCAGCAGCCGCGGCCCTTCCACCCTCCGCCAGCTTCCGCTTTTCCCCATTCCGCGGGGCCTTCCCCGCCTGGGGCGTATGCGCAGCCCAACCAGGGGCAATATGGCGGAAGAGCTCCTTCCCCCCCGACGTGGGGGCAATCGCCCGCCAACGTGCCGATTGGTCTGGCTGGTCAGATGCCGAACCAGCCTCAAGCTTGGCCTGGGCCGAACCAGGCTGCTGGTTGGTCCGGGCCGAATCAACCAGGACAGGCTTGGGCTGGGCAGGTGCAACAGCCCCATGGCTCGTTGGGTCCAGGTCAATTTCCACAGGGTTGGCAGGGGCCGAACCAACCGCCGCAGGATTGGCATCAGCCGAACCAAGCGCCTCAGGGTTGGCAAGGGGCGAACCAAACGCCTCAGGGTTGGCAAGGGGCGAATCAAGCGCCTCAGGGTTGGGGAGCACACTCGGCGGCGGGGCAGGGACATGGGCAGCAGGCGCAAGGTTGGGGGGCGGGACAGGGGAATTCTGGAGCGTGGTGGGACGAGGGGCAGGGGCACGGGCAAGGGCAGGCGTTAGGGCAGGGGCAATGGCAAGCACAGGCTCAGGCTCAGGCTCAGGCGCAGGCAGCGGGGGATTGGCGAGCGGCGCAAGGGCAGGGGCAAGCACCGTGGGCCAGCGCGCATGGGCCAGCGGCACAGCAGGCGGGTCAAGGCGGGGAGTGGTGGGAGCGGGACCTCGCGGGACAGGCAGGGGCTGCCCGTCAACGAACCCCACCAACCGCCAGCCTCCAGCCGAACGTCGGCTCCCACCCTAACGCGGGTTCCGGGCCCAGTGCGGCGGCCCCGCACATGGCGGGCCCACAGGCAGTGCGTGGAGTGCTTGGTGCGCCCTCTGTGCTCCAGCCGCAGGTGCAGGCAGTAGCGCCTTCCGCAGCAACACCCTGGCGACAAACATCCGCGGCAGCAGCAGCAGGAGCGGGAGGAGTAGGAGGAGCGGCAGCGCAGGGAGCAGGGCGAGTGGCTGCAGCAGCACCTGCGACTCCCGCTGTCACTGCAACGGCAACAGCCTCCGCCCTGCTCCCGTCCCGGTCCTCGCTCGCCCAGCGCGGTGGCAGCAGCCATGGCGGCCAAGGGGTGTCACCGGCGCCCCGCACCCCATCGGACTCTGGCTCTGACGCCAGCAGGTGGCGCCCCAGCGAATCCAAGTATTCCGCTGCTCAGGCCGGTACTGCCGCGCCTGCTGCTGCTGCTGCTGCTGCTGCTGCTGCTGCTGCTGCTGCTGCTGGCACTCCTTTCACTGCTAACACGGCTGTTGCTGGCACCGCGGGTGCTGGGCCCGACGCCAGCAGGTGGCGTTCCACCGATTCTGCGTATTCTGCTCTCCAGGGTGCTAACGCGCCTGCCGCTGCTGGCGCTGCCTTTGCTGGTAACACTGCTCCCCCTGCTGGGACGGCCAACGCCGCCACGTTCCCTGGCACTGGTACCCCTGCTGGCACTGCTGCTGGCGCTCCTGGCACTGCGGCTGCTAGCAGCAGTGGTGTGGTGGAGGGTCAGGCTGGTGGCAAAATCCCGATATACGACGGGTGGGGTGATGTCATCGGGTGGAAAGACGCGGCTCCGCAGGCTGCTGCTGCTGACGGCGCTGTGGCTGGTGCAGATGCTGCTGCCCGTGGCGCCGCTGCTGCCTGGGGCAATGGCGATGGTGCTCAAGAGGGCGAGTATGCGGAGGGTGACTATGGCGAAGGGGAGTACGGAGAGGGTGATTATGGGGAGGGGGAACAGGGAGAGGGAGAGTACTGGGAGGGGGAGTATGCGCAGGGGGAGTATGCGGAGGGGGAGTATGCGGAGGGGGAGTATGGGGAGGAGGGTAATGCTGATGGGGGATACAACGGTGGTGATGGTAACGGTGATGGTAACGGTGATGGTAACGGTGATGGTAACGGTGATGGTAACGGTGATGGTGGGGTGGACGGTGGCGGCGGTTGGGACGCAACTGACACCACTGTCGTGGGAGGTGAGAGGGTGAAAGAGCAGGGGGGCAAACCAGGTGGGCTAGGTGAAGAGAGGGAGGGGGGGCAGGAGGGGCAGGAGGGGCAGGAGGGGGAGGATGAGTTTTGGGATGCGGAGGAGGGGGACTTGGAGGGGAGCGTGGGCAGTGGCAGTGGCAGTGGCGGCGAGGGGGGCAGCAGGGAGGCGAAGCAGCAGCTTTCACAGGCTGGAAAGAATTGGTCCTCCCAGCAGCCGCCACCGCAGCAGAACCAGCAGCAGGGACAGCAGCTTGCAAACCAGGCGCTTACCTGGCAGCAGCAGCAGCTGGTTGGGAAGCAACCCCTTACATGGCAGCAGCAGGAGCAACAACAGGAACAGCAACAACAGAAGGGGCAGCAACCGCAGCAGTCTGAGAAGCAACCTCTCACATGGCAGCAGCAGGAGCAACAGCAGCAGCAACAGCAGGAGGGACAACAGCAGCAGCAACAGCAGGAGGGACAACAGCAACAGCAACAGCAGGAGGGACAGCAGCAGCAGCAATCTGGGAAGCAATCCCTCACGTGGCAGCAGCAACAACAGCAGGAGCAGCAGCAGCAGCAACAGCAGCCGCCGCCGCAGCAACGGGAGGGACAGCATCAGCAGAAGCTAGGAGAGCAAACACTCACATGGCAGCAGCAGCAGCAGCAGCAGCAGCAGCCACAGTGGGGAGGGGCCACAGGTTGGTCCAAGGAGGACGATTCTACAAGCGAGTTCAGCTCCGCTAGTGGCTATGTGCGGCCCAGGAGCACAGCTACTAACGAGGACAAGAGCGTGGTCAGCGGTGCGTGGTCCGACGCGAACTCGGATTTCAGCAGCCAGTGGGGCGACAGCGCGGGCTGGCGGAGTACCAGCGGCAAGAGTAAGAGTAGCGCCAACGCGGCATGGGGGGGAGAAGGTGCGGAATGGGGGGATGCTGCAGCCAGCAGCAGCAGAGGCCCGGGCCGAACCTCTGGCAGGTATGTGCCGCCCAGCAAGCGGGTGGGCGGCAGGGGACAGGGTGAGGGGCCCGGGCGGGGAGCAAAGGGAGCGAAAGGAGGGCCTGAGCCTGGCGTTTCCACGTGGGAGAGGAGCAGCGCTGGTTTTAGCCCTGGTGGTGGCAATGCAGGTGGCGCTGTTGGTGGTGGTGCTGCTGGTGCTGGTGCTGATGGCTGGGGAGTGGGTGCAGCCAAGGGAGGGCTGGAGCCCGGTGCTTCCACATGGGAGAGGAGCAGTGATGCTGGTAATGCTGCTGCTGGATCTCATGGTGCCAGTGGTGGTAACAATGCGGATGGTTGGGGAATGGGTGCAGCCAAGGGAGGGTTGGGAGGGTTGGGCAAGGGTGAGCCGGAGTGGAGGAGGAGGGAGCTGGTCTCCCCGACTCACTCGTCCGCGTCCTCGCACTCAGCTGCAGCAGGAGCAGTGAAGGGGCGCGCAGGGGCAGCAGGAGGCGGGGCAGCGGTGACAGTGGAAGGGGGAGGATGGGGAGGGGGCGGCGGAGGAGGAGGAGGAGGTACAGCAGCAGCAGGAGCAGCAGCATGGGGGGCGGCAGCAGCAGCAGCAACCGGTGGTGGTGGTGGTGGTGGTGGCAGCACTGGCAAAACAGCAGGTCAGGTCACTGCAGGGGGCGGTGGCGCTGTGGACAGCTGGAGGGCGTTCGGCCAGCAGAGGCAGGCGGAGCTGGGGGAGGGCGGATCGGACGACGACATCTGGAAGCAGCAGGAGGAGGATGAGAGGCTCGCCCGCCAGTGGGGCGGGGATAGCAAGGGTTTTGCAGGTGGGGCGGGCGGGGGCGGAAGCAAGGGCAGCGTAGGGAAGGGGAAGGGGAAGGGGAGTGGCGGGGCAGAGGGGAATGGTAGTGGGTGGGGGAGGGGTGGGGAGCAGGAGAAGGAGGCCAGGGGCAAGGACGACAGCACTGCATGGGGGGTGGGGGTGAACGACGGGGCAGCGACAGCAGATGAACAGGCAGGGGCGGCGAATCAGTGGGGAGGGGCGGCGCCGCAGAAGAGTGGTTGGTGGACGGAGGGAGGCGGCGGGGGGGGAGGCGAAAGTGGTTGGTGGAATGAAGGTAAGGCGGGTGAACCGATGGGGTCAAGCTCAGTGAAGGGGGCGGTTGCAGGGGAGAGAGCAGGCGTGGGCAAGGCGCCTGCAGCAGCAGCAGCAGCAGTAGCAGCAGCAGCAGCACCCCATTGTGGTTCAGCGCCTCCTGTATTAACCCCGGCAGTGGCGCCCATTGTGGCCCACAGGGAGATAGACGGCTGGGAGGTGGGCAGTAAGGGCGACGACAGCGCGTGGGAGAACGAGAGCAACACCTCCGCTGTCTCGTCGCTCACTAAGGGCCTGCGGGCGTGGCAGCACGTGGCTGTAGCATCAGCTGGCACGCCGGCTGTAGCGGCGGCTGTAGCAGCTAGCAAGGGCGCTGAGAGCGTGGTGAGTGAGAGATCGGCCACTGAGAGCATTCTCTCGGCTATCGGGCTGAAGCAAGGGGAGGAGCATATAGCGAGAGCCAACACTGACGGCAGCAGCAGCAGTCACCTGGTGCCTGGGAGCGAGAGCCCTGCCTGTGCCCCTCCTTCCACATCCGCTTCTCTGTCAGCATCGCTTGGATCCTCTGCAAAGACTCTGGCAGCAGACCCAGCAGCGGCATCAGAACCAGCAGCAGCAGCAGCAGCAGCAGCAGCAGCAGCAGCAGCAGGGGCGTTACCCAGGGAGGGGGAGAAGCTGACGAGATCCACCAGCTTGAGGGCTGACGCGCCCTCCTTCCCCCACGCTGGCCCCTCCTCCCCCCTCCGTGCTGACGCCAGCACCTATCTCCGTGCAGAGGCCCCCTCCTTCATCCGCGCTACTGCACCCTCCTTTATCCGCGCTAATGCACCCTCCTTTATCCGCGCCACCGCCCCCCCATTCACCCCCTCCCCCCCTCTGCCGCCCACGCCTCCCCCCTCACCACTGTCTCTGCCCCCGGCACTCTCCCCTCCGCACCACCTGCCCCCCCTCAGCCGCCTCACCCCGCCGCTGCACCCACGGCTCACCACGACCAATCCCCTGGTTTTGCAGATCCTTCCGGGCTGTCCTACGGCAACACAGGAGTGTCCTGGCCGGCCCCTGCCCCCTTCGCCGCTGTCCCACCCGTCCCTGCGTCTAACCATGGTCTGCCACCTGATCCGGCCATATCGGGAGTGGTGGTGGGCACAGGTGCCTTTATTCCGGAAGGGTATGGGTCTCTGCCACGTGGCGCACAGGGGTTGGATGGGGGCAGCGCGGGTGGGGGAACTGGTGGTGGGAGTGTGGGGGGGAGTGGGGAGCAGGGAGGGGGTGGGGGGGGCTGGACGGCGGAGTGGGTGGGGACAAGAGGCAGCATGGGCCGGGGTGGAGCCGTGAGTGCTACGAGTGCTGGTGCTGGTGCTGGTGCTGGTGCTGGTGCTGGTGCTGGTGCAAGTCAGGCAAGTGTTGCGAGTGCTGCTGCAGCACGGCCGGGGTTAGAGACGCCGCAACTCCCCGTGGAGATAGGAGTGAGATCAGGGTCAGCATCAGCATGGTCGAGCTCGGGCTTCGGGGCGCAGTCAGAGCTGCATTCAAGCGTGCTGCGCCTGCCAGTCCCGGGGGAGGGCGGCAGTGAGTACATCCCCCCGGTGAGTGAGCTGGAGGTAGATTTCTCCGACAGTGTGAGCAACATCGGCGCTGCTGACAGGGCCCGTGCTGCTGCTGCTGCCCTCGCTGCTCGCGCTGCTGCTGCTGCATGCGCTAGTGGTGCTGCTGGTGGCGGTAGGCTAAGCGCTGCTGCTGCTGCTGCTGCTGCTCCTGTTGCCCCCCCGGGGCAAGCTATGGGCGGCCTTCTGGATGAAGATGAGGAGGCGGAGGACTACGGAGGAGGGGAAGAGGGAGGCGAGGGCGACGAGGGGGAGGACGAGGAAGCCGCGGACTCCTTCTTCGACGCAGCGGCCACGGACTTGAAGCACTCCCCCGCGGTCACCCTTTTCCTAAAAGACCTCAAAATGCTCTCAGCAGACCAGATCAAGGCGCATGACAGAGAATACAAGTGCCCGGCGTGCAAGGGCGGCAAGGGCGAGACGGACTGGTGGTGCGGCATCCGCGCCCTCCTGCAGCACGCGGAGACAATTCGGTCCAGAAAGATCAGTGCGCACCGTGCGTTCGCCAGTGCTGTTCATGTGGAGCTGAGAGAGAGGGGGGTGCTGCTGGGGGGAGGGGGCGCAGGGAGGGAGGGGGACGAGGGGGTGGTGCAGGGGCAGTGGCGCGGCGTGGGGGGGCGGAAGCCGGAGGAGGGGAATGCAGTGGTGCTGTGGCCGCCGGTTGTTATCATCCGGAACACCCAGCTGCGGGTTGATGACGACGGGCGGGTGAGTAACTTAATAACCGGGTAATCACGCAGACTGCTCAGGAGGGGGGCTCAAACGATCGCCTTGCAATACCTATTCGGTCATTGGCTATTCTCTCCCCTCTGTGTAATGAGTCTATTTTTGAGTCGACTCAAAAATAGACTCATTACACACGATCGCCTTGCAATACCTATTCGGTCATTGGCTATTCTCTCCCCTCTCCACATGCTGCCTCTTATACCGCGGTTATAGACCTTTCCTTCCCACTGTCTCCCCCGCTCCCCCTCGCCCCACTGTCTCTCGTCTGTGTGTGTGGCAGTGGGTGGGCATGGGCAGCTTTGAGTTGCGGCAGCACTTCAACCATTGCAAGTGCATCGTCAAGACCAAGCACGCCTACGGGCCGCAGGTAAGCCGCGCAGTCACACCAATATGTCCCAGGATGCACAATGGCGCATTCCCACAACAGGTCATAGGGGCATGAGAGATTTTGTTGTCGACTCAAAAATCACCTACAAACCTTACACCGGGTTGTAGGGGCGCGAGCGTCCTGACGCCAGGAACCTGGGCCTGGCGCCAGCTGGCTTCGGGGAGGCGGAGCGTCCTGGCGCCAGCTGGCTTCGGGGAGGCGGAGCGCCGGGAACAGCAGTTTGAGCACAATGGCCAATCAAGCAGTTTGAGCACAAGGGCCAATCAAGCTGTTTGAGCACAAGGGCCAATCAAGCGGAGGGGACTCACTCAGGAATCACATCCGTTGTCTTTCCCCCTTCTCTTCAGCCCCCCATTTCCCCCCCTCCCCGCCCCCTGCCCTCCCCATTTCCGGAATTCAGGGCCACCGTGGGATGAGCGTTCTAGTTTTTGAGACCTCCCCGGACGGCTTCAGGGAGGCGGAGCACCTGGCCCAGCAGTTTGAGAGGGAGGGGCGCGGGCGGAGGGAGCTGACCCGGCGGTCGGCGCCGCTGGTGGACAGATCGGGGAAGAGGAACCTGTTTGGGTATCTGGCGACCCAGCAGGACGTGGATGAATTCAACCGGTGCATGAAAGGTAGGAAAGGACAGGAGGTGGAGGGAACTGTCTCGGAGATTAGCACCGCCGGTGGACTGGTCGGGGAAGAGGAACCTGTTTGGGTGCCTGGCGCCTCAGCAGGACGTGGATGAATTCAACCCGTGCATGAAAGGTAGGTAAGGGCCGCGGGAGGAGGGAGCTGACACGGCGGTTGGCCCCAGCAGGCAAGGGAAATTGAATGATCCCGAGCGGTGGGAGGCGCGGCAGTACCGTGGGGATCATTCAACGGGGCGCTATGATTAATTGAATGATCCTGTGCAAGTGGCAGTACGTGCCCTTCCTCCAGGTGTTGTGGTATGGATGTGGCAGGCAAGGTGGCACTGCACGTGGAGGTAGAGCGACAGCGGGAGGTGGTGGATGGAATGCCTTGTTAAAGGGCATGTGACTGGGCGTTGCATCATGACCTTCTCCCCCCCCCCCCACACCGGCATTGAAGGTGGAGCCCAAGAGCCCCCCCCCCGTGCATCTCCCCCCCGTGCATCCCCCTGTATGCATCCCCCCCCCGTGCATCCCCCTGTATGCATCCTCCTGTATGCATTCCCCCCAATGCATTCCCCCCCATGCATTCCCCCCCATGCATTCCCCCCCATGCTTCGCCCAAGAGGTGCAAGGAGGTGGTGGAGGAGCCTCTGCGGCGCACGAGGGAGCAGGCCTCTTCTGCGGCCATGTGCCTGTGCCTGACGTCTCCTCCCTTCTCCCTCCCCATGTCCACAATGCCCAATCTGCCAGGCAAGGCGGCGCTGAAGGTGGAGGTGAAGAGGCGAAAGGAGGTGGTGGAGGAGCCGCTGCGGCGCATGAGGGAGCAGGCCGCACAGGCGGGGCTCTACAAGTCGCAAGTGGTGGAGGTGAGAGGCGGCTGTTGAGACGGCTGTTAACAACAGTTCAATAGTGAGGCATGCCTCGGTGCTTGCAGCTATTTCTTTGGACTTGCTTTCTTTTGCTCTCCCCGGCTCTCCATGGTTTCTAGCACTCATTCCCAACCCCATTCTCCTGTGCATGTTCCCACTCGCTTGCTCTCTCATCCTCTCGCACCCCCCCCCAGCCCTCTCCCCGCTCGTCCTTAATGTCTCACAAGCTGGTGGAAGTGAGGATCGAGTCCTCTCAGCTACGGGAGCACTTGGAGGAGGAGCGGGAGTCGAAGTAGCGTCTAGCATCAGCACTGACTTTCTTTCCTTCCCTCTCTTCCTGCGCTTCTCTCCGCTGCCTCAGATGTCTCACAAGCTCGTGGAAGTGAGAATCGAGTCGTCCCAGCTGCGCGAGCACCTGGAGGAGGAGCGTGAGTCGAAGCAGCAGCTGGCGTCGGCGCTGGAGGGGGAGAAGCAGCAGCGGATGCAGCTGGAGAGCACGGTGCTGAGCGCCATGCGCCTCACGCACATGAAGGAGGCGGAGCTGCAGGCCATGGTGGCGCGCAACAAGCAGCTGGCGGCGCAGCACAAGGAGGAGGTGAGAGATGGGCGCTCTTGTTTGACACAGGGGGAAAGGCACTCTTGCTGCGAGGCACTCTTGCTGCGAGGCACTCTTGCTGCCATGCGCCTGAGGGGGCCATGCGCCTGAGGGGGCCATGCGCCTGAAGGGAGGCCATGCGCCTGAAGGAGTCCGGACGCACATGAAGGGGGCGGAGCTGCAGGCCATGGTGGCGAGGAACAAGCAGCTGGCAGCAGCACAAGAAGGTGAGCTGAGGGTGGTGTAAGAGAGGTGAGAGCTGCGGGGAACAGGATAGTAGGAGAGAGTTTGGCTGCTGCTTCACTCAGCACAGTGCTTAGGCGGACCTGGAGTGCATTGATTCAGCTCCCTCAATGCACGCTCCCATCCTCTCCCCATCCCTCCTCACCAGATCACGAGCATGGAGGAGGCGTTTGCTCGGAGCCTGGAGGAGGCGGAGCGCAAGCAGCGCGCGGTGGAGGAGCGGGAGGCGGACCTGGAGTGGCGCAAGAAGGTGGCGAATCAGCAGCACGTCGAGGCGGCTCGCTCGCTGGAGAGGCAGCTCTCGAGCTCGTCTGAGATCGGGTATGTGCTTCAGTTGAATCCAACGCATGCTGGATCGTCGATGGAGAATCTCTTGTCAGTCAATTCAATATGCATGCTGCAGAGGTAGGTTTCCAGCTCCAATGAGATCCAGTGTGTGCTCTGCTGTTTTCGGCACTCCACACTCCCCTCCCGCATCTTTCGCTTGTCCCTCCCACCCCCCACTGCCACCCCTGCTGCTACCCCCGCCCCCACCCCCACCCGTTGGTTGCGTGTTTCTTGGGCTTTCACAGCCATCTCTCTCCATCCGAGCCTGCTTTTGCCGTTGCAGTGATGCTCATCCATTCCGTTCCGTGCCTCGCCTTGCCTCGCCTTGCCTCGCGGTGCCTCGCGATCCCTCCCAGGGACGACCACTCCAGTGCCCTGCAGGGCAGCCTGCATGCGGCAACCGTCTTTCAAGCCGGCCTGGCGCAGATGAAGCAGCAGCAGCACGAGGAGCTGCTGGGCTTCTGGCGGGCCGTGAAGGAGCGCGAGCTGCAGCTGCGGCGGCGCTTTGAGGAGGAGCGGTCGCGGTGGGTGGAGGAGTGCGAGGCGCTGCATGAGGAGAGCGAGGCGGCGCTGGACCAGATCGAGTGCCGCGGGGGGAAGGGTGGGGGGAAGGGTGGGGGGATGGGGGGGAGGCGGGCGGGTGGTGGTGGAGGGGAGGGGAGTGGGAGTGAGGTGGGGGGAGGAGAGTGGTCTGGGAGTGAGGTTTGGGGAAGGGAGGAGGCAGGGAGTGTGGTTGAGGAAGAGGTGGGGGTTGGGAGCGAGGTTGGGAGAGTGGAGGAGGTGAGGCATGAGTCTGGTCGAGGGGAAGGGGCAGGGAGCGTGGTTGAAGCAGGGGAGGAGGTAAGGAGTGCGGTTGGGAAGGGGGTGGAGGTAGGGAGTGTGGTTGAGGGAGTGGAAGAGGTAGGAAGTGATGTTGGGAAGGGCGTGGAGGTAAGGAGTGTTGAGGAGGAGGGAGCAATGGGTGGAGGGGAAGGGGAGCAGGAAGAAGAGGAAGCGGTGAAGGAGGTGGAGGTGGTGGGGAGCGCAGGGAAGGTGGTAGGAGTGTGTGAAGAGCAAGGTGGGCAACATGCTGGCGAGGGCAGAGAGAAGGAAGTGAGTGGAGAGGCTTTGGGCGAGGATGACGGGGTGGCTGATGAAAGGGGAGAGAAGGATAGAGAGGACGGAGGAGAGAAGGGGGAAGAGAGGGAAGGAGAGAGGGAGGGAGAGGTGGAAAACGAGAGGAAAGGAGAGAGGGAGGGAGAGGTGGAAAACGAGAGGGAAGGAGAGAGGAAGGGAGAGGTGGAAAACGAGAGGGAAGGAGAGAGGGAGGGAGAGGTGGAAAACGAGAGGGAAGGAGAGAGGGAGGGAGAGGTGGAAAACGAGAGGGAAGGAGAGAGGGAGGGAGAGGTGGAAAACGAGAGGGAAGGAGAGAGGGAGGGAGAGGTGGAAAACGAGAGGGAAGGAGAGAGGGAGGGAGAGGTGGAGAATGAGATTGGAGGAGAGGGAGCAGGGCAGGTGGATGTGGTGGTGGGTGAAGAGCAGGGCAGTGAGGAGGGAAGTGGTGTGAGAGGAGAGACTGTACCTGAGGATGTGGATGGAGAGCTGGGACGGAGAAGGGGAGAAAAGGTGAATGAGGAGGGAGGAGAGGGGGTAAATGAGGTGGTGAGTGAGGAGGGAGGATGGGAGGTAAATGTGGTGAGTGAGGAGGGGGAAGTGGATGTAGTTGAGGAGGTGCATGAAGAGGGCGGAAGGGGGATAAGTGAGGATGGGAACAAGGAGGGCCGAGAAAGAGAGGGGGCATTTGGGGTAGAGGAGGGGGTGGAAGAGGGAGTAGTGGAGGAGGCAGGGGAGATGGCAGAGGCTGGAGGGTTGAAGGGTGACATCCAGGATGATGAGGGGGAGGAAGGGATAGGTGGGGGTGAGCATGGGAATGAAGGGGATGGGGAGGTGGGGCAGTCGGCGGGAGAAGTGGCGCAACTTGGTGGGTTGGTTGGCGATGGAAAAAGTTGGATGAATGCAACCACAGGAGAAGCCAGCAAAGGGGAAGGAGGTGTTGAGTCTGCGAGCACTTCTCAAATTGGTGAAGTCGAGGAGAACGACGTGTACGGTCCAGAGTCGTTCTTCCTTGCACAATGAGTGCTCTGCCGGTAAGAATGTTTGCTTAGTTTTTTTTAATGATAATATATGTTTGTTTTGTTGTTTGGTATACATGATCAGATGGGCTGATGTTTTTGCATGCAGGATTATCAGTGGAATGACATTCAGAAGCCTATACCCATCTTTCTCTTCAAGCATCGCATCTACCGTTATATACCTCTGCAATTCTTTTGCAATTTCTTGTATCGTGTCAGCTCATGTTTGTTCATTACAAATAGCACGTGGTCAACGTCTTGTTTGTAAAAAACGATGGAAAATGTTGGATGAATATATTGTTGCAAAATATTATTTTATGTTTATGTTTTTTTTTAAGATGTATGATATTTTCGAAACATTGTTTATTGAATATATTATCAAATATTTTTAACTAATTAGAAACAATTATAGTATTTAATTTATGTAAAGTAAATACAATTATTTAAATACGAAATTATGATGAATCATCTCGTTTGATCACTGTACCAGCAGTGCGCCTGCAAATTTGCTCTCCAACTTGCATCAACGAGACGAAGCGCACAGCAGCTCCGAACGTCCGACGGTTTGCATCCTGGCCGTCAGCACAGTCACGGCAGGTTCGATGAAAGGACATCTGTGGTTCCAAGCAGTCGGGGATTGGACCTCCCCGAGTCGTGCATTTACCTGGGCTGAGACCAACCTGACCGCCCTTCTACACCCCTTCCCTCTCGTCCCGTCCGGCGGATTCTGTGCCGCGTTGGCGCCTGTGGAACTGGGGCGAATTCGCGAAGCTGGGGCAAATGTCTGAAACAGGGGCGAATTGGCGAAGGCAAATGTGGACGATTTGTGGGGCAGGGGGATCTCGCCGGAGCACATGGGGGCGAATTCGCCAAGCAGGGGCGAGTTTGCGAAAAAAGGGGGCGTTTTACGAACCAGTCCTGGCGCGCCAGACGCGCCCTTCCAAAGCCTGATACCTTCCACACAAATCACTTGGCCCTCTCCCCCTGAATCGACGAAGGACCATCCCTGCACACCGCGCGCCGCAGCGGGCGGCAGACGAGGCTAGGTCGGCAGGAGTGTGCCAGAAAAAAACATGCCTGAAGGTGCCATACAACCAATTCTAAGAAGATCCCCGACAGCATTTTGCAAGTGGCTGCTGAGATGATGTGATAGACTCTAGCTCTCTCGATGCTGTGCAACTATCTATACTCTCGCACTCAAAGCCTGATAGGCTGTCTCTCTCTACTCTAACCACTTAGTTCCAAGGTGAGCACTCCTCAGTTGACATCGGCCGGAATGATCGTGACTCACGATGGTGTGGCGTACAGCGTCACCGCTCTCGACGGCGACGCTCGCGCCATGCTGGAGCTGTCGCTTCCCACCGCCGCGCCGCGCGCCACCCCCACGTTGAAGACATCTCGAAGCGCGCTTCCCTCCCCGCACGTCAACGGCACGCCGCAACCCGTCAGCAGGAGCAGCAGCGGGATCGGTACCTTCAACATCGATAGCACTAGCAGCGGCAGCAGCAGTCCGTTCAGCCCCCAAGATCCCCACATCCCCGTTTCAAGCAGTGCGCATTTCAGCTCCGTGCGATCGTCACAGACCAGCACGCCAAGCGGCCACATGCCGAGCCCACCGCAGCTCATACCCGTGCAGAGCGGGGGGGCGAGCGCGGGGGCGAGCGCGGGAGCAAGCGCGGAAGCAAGCGCGCCGAGCGGCGGAGGCGCAACGGAAGCGGTGGTGGTGTGCCGGGCCGGGCAGCCGTTCAGCGTGGTGACGCAGGTGAGCTTCCGCGCGCCGTTCCGCGTGGAGATGCGCGTCGACGGGAGGTCGCTGGGGTACACGGAGTACTTCTACTCGCCGGGGGAGATTAATCTCCACTGGTTCCACGGCTGGCACCAAGGGCACGGCAAATTCGCGCCATTTACCTGCGAGCCGGTGACGCGACATGCGGACGCGGCAGAGTCGGATAAAAGCGCCCGTTTTTCCGCGGGAATTGCTCCGCCTGAACCGGCGCAAGACCCCCCGAGGAAGGCGCGAGGACTCGGGCAGAGCCGTGCGTCTGAGAAGGAGTGGCCTTCTCGAGGGCGAATACTGAAGGCGGCAGGCGGGAGGGGCGGGAGAGGCGGGAGGGGGGGGAGGGGCGGGACTCCCGCTGGGACGGGGGACGCGGATGGCGGGGACGCGGAGAAGGGCAGTGCGGGCAGGCTTGCGATGGGCGGCGCTAGGCAGTGGTGCTGCGCAAGTGCCGATTCTCAGACGTTCCAGATGATTCCGGTGAGGGCGGCGCAGGGAGGAGTGGAGTGCGGCGGAGAGCGAACGGCGAAGCTGCATTGGCGAAGAGGAAAGAAGGCGCCGCAACCGCAGCCGCAGCAGCAGCAGCGGCGGGGAGGGAAACAACAGCAGCTGAATCAGCGGGAGCAGGGGGCGGGGGAGCATTGTGAACGTGACGGTTCGCGGGAGCACGAACCGGAGGAGGTGGACTGGTGGGGGTGGCGGAACGAGCAGCCCGGCCTGCCCATTCCTGCCGCCCTCGCGCTCTCCTTCGACCGCCTGACTGCCGACGCGGCCGACACTAGCAGCGACGACACCAGCAATTGCCCCTCCTCCGCCTCCTCGTCCCCTCTCCACCGCCCCCACACGCCCACAGCCGCAGGGCGAGGAGAGACGGGCGGTGGAATGGGCGCGAATGATGCAAATGCCGCCTGTGTCGCGTGCTTCAGCCGCCCACACGCCCCTCACTTGGACCCAGCCGCCACAGCGGCAGAGGGCTGCGAGTGCGACGGCGACACAGGGGCGCAGCAGGTGGGGGGATTCTGCGGGCTGCTGTGCCTCCCTGCCTCCGTGCCTCCGCCTCCCGACAGACTTCAGCCAGGGCATTCGTGCACAGTGCGCGAGGCTGCTGACTCAGCCGGCAGCACGGATGACGAATACGACACCGATGACGGCATTGGCAGTTCGAGCAGCAGCGACTCGGAGGAGCAGGAGGACGAACGGAGTCAGAAGCTTCTGCAGTGCCAGTCCTGCCTGCCGCCTCTGCTCTCCCTCTGGCATCACTCCAAGCGCCCCCCAGACCACCCCACCACCACCATCCCACCCATTCCCCCATCGTCCCCAGCCAGTCTCCCCCCTCTGGCCAGCCTGCCCCCTCAAGATTCACCCTCGGCAGTGGATTTCCGAGTGGAGGTGGTGTTCCACTCCATCCGCCTACTGCCCTGCACCGTCCGCACCACCGGGCACTGCGCGCTCTGTGAGAGCCGCCTCAGATGGTACCTGGGGGCGGTGGGCTCTGGCCAGGCTGCACCTGACGCAACTGCTGTGGGGATGGCAGGGGCGTGTGAGCAAGAGAAGAGTTTGGCTCCAAAGGCACCGGCGGCCTTGGGGTCTACGAGAAGGGGCAGGGGGAGGGGGGATTCGAGGGAGGTGGGAGGGGAAGTGGCTGGGGGGGAAGGCAGGTGTGGGGGAGGGCGGATCCCAGCAGAGGATGTGCTGGATCCTGTGCCGTTCCACTACCAGGACGTGGGTGAACAGGTGAGAAAATGCGAGGGCGAGAGGTGAGTGCTGATGTGTGATGGGGTGTGGGGGGAGTTGAGTGCTGCAGGCAGGCAGGGAATGCATGGTTCAGAATTGCTGGGTGGATGCATTGTTGTCATGTGTACCATATCCAACGTTGGACTACAGACGTAAATAGCTCTCATTGTGTGTCGGCCTTTATGTTTCTTGTTTGGGTTGCTTGCAGGTGATGGTGTCGCTTCGCTTCAACTGTCTCCAAAGATTGAGAGAAAGGGGGTTGATACAAGATATCGCCAAGACATTACCAACGTAACATGAGCTAATAATTAATTATGTATGATATTCTCAGGCATTCACACCCGACGTACGTTTGTCAAATGAGAACCTTGTTTGGCGAATATTCCCGGAAAAGCTGGAATGAAGTGTATCGCACCTAGGTATATCTCTTCAAATATGGAAAAGTTTTAGTCTGTCTCGGTACATGGAAGAGGGAGAGCCACCAAAAGTCCAAGCGTGTTGTCAATATCGGGGCACTTGGCACCCCAAGGGAGAGGCACACGAGGAAGCAGCACAAAAGAAGCTGCCAGCTCATCGAATTCAGTACGCCACAGACCATCGTGCGCCGCTCACCGTCGAATCCCGATTCAGCCGTTTGAACCCACCGGGGCCGTCTCCAGCTTTCAAAAGTCTCACAACTCGATTTCTGATTGGACCGTTTGAGCCTACCAACGCCGTCTCCGGCCGCGCTGCCACTTCCCCATGGCCTCCCGCGGGGGAAGGGCGTGGGGACGGGGCGGTCGGCGGCAAGACGCGGAGGCGGCTGGCGGAAGCGGTAGATTCGGCGGAGTGCGCAATCTTCGGGGGCGGGCGGAGGCGCAGAGAGGCGCGCGCGGAGGCGGGCGGCGGGCACAAGGGCGGGCGCTGACGGCGGAAGAAGAGGCGCTGCAGGCGGTGCTGGAAGGTGCGGGGCAAGCGGGGGTGGGGGGAAAGGGGGGGGGGGGGGGGGGGGATTGCGGGTGCGGGAGCGAGGGGGGGTGTGGTGAATGAGTCGTAGATGCGCTGAATGGTGGATCTGATTCGCAAGGTGAGACAACTGAATCTGAATGTGAATCAAATCTGACTGTGAATCAAATTTGACTGTGAATCCGGCTGCGCGGCTGAGGGATTGTGGGAGTTTTCATCTTGTGTGTCATCTGCTCCTTGGTCCTTGGGATTGTCATCTGCTCCTTGGTCCTTGGGATTGTCATCTGCTCCTTGGTCCTTGGGATTGTCATCTGCTCCTTGGTCCTTGGGATTGTCATCTGCTCCTTGGTCCTTGGGATTGTCATCTGCTCCTTGGTCCTTGGGATTGTCATCTGCTCCTGGGTCCTTTGGATTGTCATCTGCTCCTTGGTCCTTGGGATTGTCATCTGCTCCTGGGTCCTTGGGATTGTCATCTGCTCCTTGGTCCTTGGGATTGTCATCTGCTCCTTGGTCCTTGGGATTGTCATCTGCTCCTGGGTCCTTTGGATTGTCATCTGCTCCTTGGTCCTTGGGATTGTCATCTGCTCCTGGGTCCTTGGGATTGTCATCTGCTCCTTGGTCCTTGGGATTGTCATCTGCTCCTTGGTCCTTGGGATTGTCATCTGCTCCTTGGTCCTTGGGATTGTCATCTGCTCCTGGGTCCTTGGGATTGACATGTGCTCCTGGGTCCTTGGGATTGACATGTGCTCCTGGGTCCTTGGGATTGTCATCTGCTCCTTGGTCCTTGGGATTGTCATCTGCTCCTTGGTCCTTGGGATTGTCATCTGCTCCTTGGTCCTTGGGATTGTCATCTGCTCCTTGGTCCTTGGGATTGTCATCTGCTCCTTGGTCCTTGGGATTGTCATCTGCTCCTGGGCCCTCTCGTCCCCCCCTCTCCCGCCACCCATCGCTCCCCTCTCTCCCCCCTCCTCCTGCTCTCGGTCCCACCTGTTCCTCCTCACTCTCCCACCACTCCGTTTATGCTAATCCCCACCCCCCACACCCCCCACACCACCCCAACACCACCCACCACAACCCCCTTTAGAGGCGGGCAGGAGGAAGCAGGCAGGGCAGAGGCGACTCAGCAGCACAGCAGTGACTATAGTAGAAGGTGACAACAGCGGTGCCAACCACAATACCAGCAGCAGCAGTCAACCCTTCGCCTCAGTCTCCTCCTCTATTATCACCACCACTGCCACCCCAACCATTCCCAAGGGCCCAGCAACCGACCACTTCGAAGCATCCCTTCGTTACTATCACACTGCCCTCGCTTCCTCCGCCCTCTCGCCGCGCGCCCGCCTCTCCGTTTTGTTTGACATTGGGGAGGCTTATCTGGGTCTGGGGGAGGCGCAGCTAGCGGACGGACAGCGGGCAGCAGGGGGGCCGATGAGTCAGCCTGCACTGACGTGGCAGCTGGTGAAGCGAGTGGAGAGGGAGGCTGCCACGTCAGCTGCTGACTCGTGCAGACTCGCATTCGAGGCATTTGACGAGATCTGTCGTGTGGGGCCCACCCTTCCACATGCCGAGTCAGCAGCGTGTGCTCAATCAGCTGCTGACGTCAGCAGCGGAGGAGGCGGACGAGGTGGCAGGGGGAGGGGGGGAGTGGAGGGAGAGGATGGTGCTGACGTGGCAGAGATGGTGCAAGGAGCGGCGGTGAATGCAGCGAATGCGCTGGTGGCATGGGCAGAGGCGGTGGGGGAGGTGGAGGGTGGGCGAGAGGAGCAGGGCGAAAAGGGGGTGGGGATGGGGGCTGCAGGGGGAATGGGGCATGGAGGCTCGGAGAGCATGGCGCTGGATGAGCAGCAAGCACAGCAGGTGCGAGCAGGGCCACATGCACACCTGTAACACATTTGCACACCTGTAACATTTCATGCAGCTCTTCCCACATCCACCATTCTCTTTCTCCCACTCCCTCCTCCCAGGCTCTGGAGCACGACAAGCACGCACTGCAGCTGCAGCCAGCAGCAGCCAGCAGCTGCTGGGAGGGGCGCTGGCGTGGTATGAGGCACCTGCAGCGGCCACACGGCGTGACACCAACCTGCTCCCTAACCCCCTCTTTTTCCCCCTTTTCCTTCCTCCTACTCCCCCTGTCCCCCTTTATTCCCCGCATCCCCTGTGCCCATCTTACTCAATCCTTCAGCAGCAGCAGTTGCAGCAGCAGCCAAGGGCGGCGCAGCTGCTGCAGGAGGCATTGGCGCGGTACGAGGCAGCTGCAGCCGCCACACCCAGCGACACGGACCTGCTGTCGAACCTCGGGGACTGCGCCGTCAAGATGGCTGAGCTCACGGTGAGCGGACGGGGCGGGGTGCGGGTGGGGAAGCCAGGGGCTTCAGGGAGTGGCAGCTGCAGGCGCCACACCTAGGGGCTTACCCGCGCTCTAACCTCGAGGACTGTGCCGTGAAGACGGCTGAGGTCATGGTGAGCGAGGGGGGGTGGGGTGTGAGCCAGGAAAAGCGTGGGGGGGAGGTGGGGTGCGTGCGGTGAGTCCACATGGCTGAGGTCATGCTGAGCTGTGGGGGGTCGTGGGGTGCATGTGGAGGAATCGGGGGATTCTGGAGAGTGGGGGCAAAGCGTCAAGTGAGGGGCGGCTCTTGAGCCCCTCACAGCATTGCCGTGCCAGTCTTCTGTGTGTGGCTAGACGCATCTCCTTTTCAGTTGACTCAAAAGCTGTCTTGTCAAATCTTCTGTTTGAATCCAAAAGCATCTCCCGCTGCCCCCCTCCACAGTGCCCAGAGCGCCCCGCCCTTCCCCCCCACCCATGGGCCCTGGCGTCCCCTCACTACGAGTGCGCCATGCAGGCATCCGCCTCGGCGTGCTCCCTGTGCGATGTCCGAGTGGGGGACGACCCGCCTGGGCTGCTGCAGAAACGATCACTCCCCTTCGCCCTTCACCTTATGCCTTGCTCCCTGCCCCAGTGCCCTGAGCGACCCGCTTCACCCCACCCGTGGGACCAGGCATCCCCCCACTACGAGCGCGCCATGCAGGCATATGGCACTGCATGCTCGCTGTGTGACGCCCGTGTGGGCGACGACCTGCCAGGGCTGCTGCACAACTGGGGCGTGGGGCTGCTGTCGGCCGCCCAGGTGAGAAGGGTGGGTGGCTTTAAGAGAGGGAATCGGCGGCGGCCCACCGCTCACTGGAGAATGAAGCAGCGGCAAGGGCTTAGCAACAGCTGGTAGAGTATTAGATGGAATACAGGTGGGCCGGGGATGAAGGAACTAGCTTGGAAGAGAAAAGATTGAATTGAGTAGGGAGCCAAGAGGCTCTTTTGTACAAAACAAGGAGCAAGAAGAGTTGGAAGGGAAGCTCTCCCATTGGGCCATAAAGTGGACCAATGGGAGAGGTTGCTTGTAGGGCAAGCAACCACAAAGTGTGGTGCTCTCCGATTGGCCACAAAGCGGACCAATGAGAGAGATTGCTTGGAAGGCAAGCAACCACAAAGTGTGGTGCTTGGTGATTGGTTGGTTCGTAGGACCAAGGACCATTTGGTTGGAATAGTGCCAACCAAATGTCTAGGACCAAATCCAATCTTGACCAACCCAAATGTGGGGTTGGTCAACCCAACCAACAACCCCCCAATAATTATAATGACTACACCTCCTAATCTAGGCATGCATGTTGTATAGATATATATATTACAACAGGGGAGGCCTTATTTCCATCACGTCTGTTGGTTTGTACAACAAGGGCTACGCAACCATGGCAGAGTATGTGGCTTTGCTGCCAGCAGCAGCAGCAGCAGCATCATTCATCCCTTCCGCTCCCCCCCACCCCTTGCGCTTCCATTGCACTGCCCTCTCACCCTCTCCTCTCGCTCTTCCTCTCCTGCCTCTTCCGCACCCCAGCGCTGCCCCGAACCTGACCAGGAGATTCGGCTCCTGACCGAAGCTGCTGAGAAGCTTCAGAAGGCAGCCGACTTCCATCCCACGGACATGACATCTCGTCTGGCTCTGGGGGAGGTGTTATCTGTGCAGGGGGAACGATCAGCCTCCTCTGCTAACCACCTACAGGAGGCTCTACACCTGCTCTCCCTCTCTCTCTCCCGGGGCTTTTCTGCCGCCCTGCGCATCGACTCCTGCCATGCAGAGGCCCTTCTAGGGGCGGCAGATGTACACCTGTCTGCCGCCCAGCTGCTGATGGGGCATAGGGTGTGCAGGGAGGGGAAAGGTGGGCCTGGTGGTGGTGGTGGCATGGCGAGCAGCAGTAGTAGCAGCATTGGGGTAGGGGTGGGCAATGGAGGCGGGATGTGTAGTGGAGGAGGGGTGGCGTCGCTGCCACGAGAGGCGTCGGGCCACTTGCAGCATGCCATGTCAGCGTACCGTGATGCCATGCATGCAATCAAAGGTGCTTGGATCGTGGTGGTCTTTCCGTCTGCTCTACTGCTCTTGCATCCATGCAGCCTTGCAGCCATGCACCCATGCACCCATGCAGCCATGCATCCATCCCCTTGTTGCACTACCACCCGGTAGACCCATTCACATGCACATGCACATGCACATGCACATGAACTTTCCCTTCTTCAGGGTGATCCATTCTTCCATCAAAATAGGCATCCTTTCTTATCTCCATCCCCCACCCCCCTTTCTCACCCCAGCAGCCTCTGATGCCATGCCATATGCCGACCAATGCAGTGCCCTCTACAACATGGCGTGTGCTGCTGCGCTGGTAGGCCTGCTTGCTGAGTCAGCGGAGGTTCTCACCAGGCTGGCTGCCATTGGATGGCTCTCTGTGGCGGAAGTTCAGAATGACGAGGATTTTAGAATTCTCAGGCAGTCGCCACTGTACGCGGCATTGCTGACACAACTACATGTGTAATACGGTAATCAGGTTGACTGACACCCATTGCCGGCTAAAATATACCTACTGCTCTTACTGCAACATTCTCTGGTTGCAGCATATCCCGTCTAAATGGGGACCCATAATGTAGGGATGAACACGTTACGTACATATCAAAGAAAAGAAGCACAAAAGCTTGTTTAGGTCATATTGTAAGGCAGCATGCTTAATTTCATATGGATGAGGGAAACTAGAAATGTAGAGTATGGGTGAGGTCACATGGCCCTGTCAACTTATACAATATGAATATTTCTTTTTGGAATAAAAAATTAACAGATTGTGATTCGATTTGAAGAGGACTTTTGCTGTAAAGGAGACAACCTCCTTCACATTCTCGCAGGTCCGATGGACCTGCCACCTAGTCTCTTTCTCATTTCTCTTCTCTGATTGCTTACTATGGCTGATGGTAGTAAGCAATCAGACCTGGGCATAGGAGCACGCTACTTGCGGACGTGATTGCCGCACGTTTTTCTACCATGACTGGAGGAATTGTTTCTGCTGCAACTGGTCGTCCTCCTGTTTCAAGAATGAATCTAAGGAGCAATGGACGACGTGGATCCCCTGTGCGTGAGGGAAGTCAAGATTCTTCCACTCACCGTGATCGTTCCCGCTCTCCACGCAACAGAAACGCATCTGTTACTGCATTGGATCTGTTGAATGGCGCTCGGCGAAACCCCGTTCAGCAACCCGGATTGGCTCCCGTCGGAGATCGTAACGCTTCTAATGGTCGCGATTTTCTCCCCGGGTTTCGCGGCGAGCGGCGTGAAGAACGTGAACGTGTCGACTTGAACCGGGCAAGAAAAAACGCCCCGACACCCGTGGAACAGTTGCGCGCGGCACCCCTCGGCCGCAATCATGACGGTCCTGCGCGCGAGGATCGCAATGATCATCGCGAACCTGGGCGCGCAGGTCGAAATGATGAGTAGGATCCTGAGCGTGACCAGACGCGTTAGGACCTGGGTCGTCAGAATCTTGACCAGAGCGCAAATCGCCAGGAGCGCCAGGATCGTGGGGATCGCCAGAATCTGGACGTCCACGCCAATTTGGAATCTCGCCCGACGAATCAGCGCGCACAGCAGGATCCTGTCATAATTGCCAATGGATCTGCAAATTTCGCCGAAATGATGGCGCGTCTGGACCCCGCCACCCAGCGAAATTTCCATCGAATCTTCACGGGTGCTGCAATTGGTGAACGCGTTACAGCGCGCTCCTCTGCTTCTACAGCGCCCCAATCTGCAGAACAAATTCCTGCTCGTTACAACAACAACGACAACGCTAATAATGACGCAATTCATCACGTCATCGGTCTTCTCGCGGCCCTTCAGCGCGGACAAACCGGTGATCCAGCACCACCCCCTGCACCTGCTCGACCTGCGGCAGCAGCAGTGCCACGCTCCCGCCCTCCTCCCGTCGCGGCCGAACCCGAGGGCGATGACGCGGACGACGTCTTGTTCTACCGTCCCGAATCTTGCTCCTATCCCTTCTGCACGTCCTCAGTTGCGTTCTTCTTTGGTAAAAAGTGACGGCATTTGAACCCAACTTTTTAGTTTCGAGCGTATCGAGGCTATTGCTCAGCACGCGCTCTTCGCTTTGCCCCCTAGTGGTGGCGAGTTAGCCGCCGACTATCTCCAGCAGATAGTCGAGGAGGGGGAGGAAAAGATTCATTTCTTATTCACCGCAGATCAATGCGGTTTTGAAGTGGCCAATATGGCCCTAAAGATTAAATATGGGGAGGTGGTGGAAGATAAAAACGTTAAGGCCGCCACACAAATTGTGGCGGCCAGCAAAAAGAGACCTACTAGACCCACCACCTCGACATCCCGCACCGATCCCCCCCCTCGCAGTAGGGGTGAAGACGCACGTACTTGGAATACGTGGCGTTGGGATGGCGATGGTCGATGCTTTTATTGTCGCGAACCCGGTCATGGGTTTAAAGATTGTCCTCGCCTAGGCCAAGGGGCCAACTGGCCGGCTAAGATTGTCTAGAGGCTTTGATGGCCGATTCTTTGTAAAACCTTGATGCTATAAATCTCTTATTTCATGTTAAAGATTGATGTTGTGCCAATTGGTGATCAAGCATGCGACTCAAATCCGCTTCGAATATAGCACGGCAATATGCTATTCAATATTTGCGTGCAAAAAAAAAAAAAAAAAAAAAAAAAAAAAAAAAAAAAAAACAACAACAAAAACAACAACAACCCCAAAAAAGGGAGTAGGGGGAAGCATGAGAACGACAGAAGTGCCGGAAAAGAAAGGCAGTCCAAAAGGTACAAAACGCACGTGGAACATTCGAACACGCACCTCCGACCGATGAAAGCATGACAAAGATTGTAACATTGCTGGTGCGTACACTGCGAAAAGTGTTGCCTTCATTCTTGCTTTCGCTTCGACTATTTTGAGCACGCTTCTCACGCTACGCATGCTTCGGCAAACGTATTTGTACAGTCAAGAACGATAACTTACATCTGGCCCTTGCGGCTTTTTTATTGTACTTGTTCGTCACCGCCCCTCACAAGAGCTTGGCTCCTTCGCCGTACATGTTGCCACATCGGGTGATACAATCCGTATGCGAGGACGCATGCGTGCCTGCTTTGTATGGTGGTCCGGTTGGTGCGATAGCCGCTTCATACTGTCGGTCCTCGCGTCAGGCTATCGCCTTCCCTGGGCTTCTTCAGAGCCTACAGTGCGGCATGCCTCAAACCATGCCGGGGCACTCCAATTCCACACATTCGCGGTGGAGGCGGTGGACGAGCTCCTCGCTACGGGAGCGGCCCGGCTCGTTCCTCCATCGGAGCCACTCACATGCATCAGCCCGCTTAACGTAGTCGTCCAACCTTCCAAACAGAGGCTCATATTGGACCTCCGCCACGTGAATTCATTTCTTTCCGTCCCCCGTTTTCGCTACGAGGGCTTGAATCGGGTGCCCGACTTGGTACAGCAAGACGATTGGCTATTCACCATCGATCATGTGGATATCCATCCCTCGCATTGGCGCTTCCTTGGTTTTACACTCCAAGGGCAGCGCTACCAGTTTCTATAATTGCCTTTTGGTCTAGCTACTGCGCCGTTCGTTTTTACTCAGCTGATCAAGCAGCTCGCAAAACGTTGGCGTGGACGCGGCATCCGACTTATCCCATACGTCGATGACATTTTGTTCATCAACGCTACTCGAGCCGAGGCCCTTTGCCACCGTGCCATCATTTTAGCAAATCTTCAGTCAGTTGGCTTCGCTATCAACTTCAGGAAGTCGCAGCTCGAACCAACCCAGTGCCTAAAGTTTTTGGGCCTCCTGCTGGACACTCGCACCACGTCTTTCTCCGTCGATGACGGCAGACGCGAGCGACTCTTCGCCAAACTTGAGCAGACATGTGCACTTAGCGCACAAGGGCGGCCTATCCCAGTCCGTCGGGCCACTCGCATCACTGGCTTGCTAGCCTCCATGGCGCTCGCACTTGGCATGGTCGCGCGTGCCTTCTCCCACAATCTCCTTTCGCAGATCTCTGAGTGTCACTCTTGGGGGGCGTCAATTCTCTTGACACCCAATTCTCTCGATGAGTTGCGTTTCTGGCTCACCCAGTTCGATGTCTTCAATGGCTCGCGCTTCCACAATCCTCATCTCTACGACGTTGTGATGTATGTGGAAGCCAGTGATTGCGCATGGGGCGCGTATTTTTCAGCGCCGGACGGCCACGCCGGTTCGCATGCTTCACCACTCCCCTAGGCCCTCGTCTCTTCATCCAGCACGCTCCGCGAGCTTGCTGGCATCCTTTGGGCACTGTCAACCTTTCTTGACAAGGTCCGACGCTCGCACGTCCTGCTCCGCAGTGACAGCCAAGCGGCCTATTACATTATGAAAAAAGGGGGTTCTCGTTGGCTTGAGTTGACTCTGATATGCTGAGCTATTATCCACCTTTGCGTGCGCCACCAAATTCGGCTCACAGTCCTGTGGATCCCGCGCACCCTTAATACAGAAGCCGACGCGCTCTCCAAGTTGGATCTTCTCGACGATTACTCTCTCGCACGACCTTGGTTCCTTCTGCTAGAGAGGCGTTGGGGTCCTCATACTATTGATTTGTTCGCTTCCTCGGCTAATGCGCAGCTGGCTCGTTTTTGCTCGCTCGAGCTCTCTAACGCGGTAGTCGTGCAGGATGCGTTTTCTCTTAGCTGGTCGGGCGACAACTTCTACGCCTTTCCTCCCCCACCCCTGATCCCCGCTGTCCTCTCTCTCGCCCGCCGCTCGCGCACCTCGCTCACCCTTGTAATCTCGCATTGGCCTAGCGCCTTTTGGTGGCCACTGTTATGCCCGGACGGTTCCTCTTGGGCCCCTGCTGTGGTTGCAACCATTTGCCTTGCTCCTGGCTCTAGTTGTTTGCGCATTGGTAGCGACCATTCTGCCTTTAGCGGTGCAGGTCTCCTGAACTCATTGATGTACGCGCTTCGCTTGCTATTCACTAATACATAGCGCTGTGCCTCTGCGCAGATTCCTACCTCGGCCGCTTACTTTTGGATCTCTTGATGCTCATAGTCGATCTTCGTGCACAGTCTACTCTTCGAACATATGAGCCCTACTGGCGACAGTATCAGGCCTTTTGTACCGCGCACTCGCTTCCTTTTCTACGTGCCAGCAACCTTACGGCAGCACTGTTCCTGTTGCACTCGATCCGCGGTGGCGCCACTATTTCAGCAGTGCGATCCGCATGTTCTGCCATCTCATGTGCCCATTGGCTGGTCGGCCTTCCTTCTCCTATTCGCGGCCCGTTATCTTCCCAAGTGAAGGAGTATGCGCAACGCCACTGCGGCAGGCCCGCTCGAGCTAAGGAGCCGATACCACCCGAAAAAATCTACGATATCTGCAACGTCTACTTCGCGTCGTCCGATCCTGCCACCTTCCAGAAGGGGCTGATCCCTCTCCTCATGTTTGCAGCCTTTCTGCGCTTCTCTGATCTGATATCCCTCCAGTGGCACCAGATTGAGTCTACTTCGCGTCGTCCGATCCTGCCACCTTCCAGAAGGGGCTGATCCCTCTCCTCATGTTTGCAGCCTTTCTGCGCTTCTCTGATCTGATATCCCTCATGTTTGACCGGGACTGTATGTGGTTGTTCATTCCCCGCTCCAAGATCGATCAGGCGGGTACTGGTGCATGGATTCCTGTGGCTGCCTCCTCCGCTCGCCACTGCCCCATCTCTCGCGTCCAGCAATTCCTATTCCTCGC